AGGCCAGGTCATCTGATGCAGCACTCCATCACTCTCCTTCTTGGTCAAATAGCCCTTACACAGCCTGGAGGTGTGTTTTTGGTCATTGTCCTGTTGAAAAACAAATGATAGTCCCACTAAGCGCAAACCAGATGGGATGGCGTATTGCTGTAGAATGCTGTGGTAGCCATGCTGGTTAAGTGTGCCTTGAATTCTAAATAAATCACAGACAGTGTCACAAACCTCCTTCTCCATGCTTTTGGTGGGAAATACACATGCCGAGATCATCCGTTCACCCACACCCCGTCTCACAAAGACACGGTGGTTGGAACCCAAAATCTCCAATTTGGATTCCAGACCAAAGGACAACTTTCTACCGGTCTAATGTCCATTGCTCATGTTTCTTGGCACAAGCAGGTCTCTTCATCATATTGATGTCCTTTAGTAGTGGTGTCTTTGCACCTATTCGACCATGAAGGCCTGATTCACACAGTCCCCTTTGAACAGTTGATGTTGAGATGTGTCTGTGACTTGAACTCTGTGAAGCATTTATTTGGACTGCAATTTCTGAGGCTGGTAACTCTAATGAACTTATCCTCTTCAGCAGAGGTAACTCTGGGTCTTCCATTCCTATGGCGGTCCTCATGAGAGCCAGTTTCATCATAGCGCTTGATGGTCTTTGCGACTGCACTTGAAGAAACTTTCAAAGTTCTTGAAATGTTCCGTATTGACTGACCTTTATGTCTTAAAGTAATGATGGACCATCGTTTCTCTTTGTTTATTTGAGCTGTTCTTGCCATAATATGGACTTGGTCTTTTACCAAATAGGGCTATCTTCTCTATACCCCCCTACCTTGTCACACCACAACTGATTGGCTCAAACGCATTAAGAAGGAAAGAAATTCCACAAATGAACTTTTAAGAAGGCACACCTGTTAATTGAATTGCATTCCAGGTGACTACCTCATGAAGCTGGTTGAGAGAATGCCAAGAGTGTGCAAAGCTGTCATCAAGGCAAAGAGTGGCTATTTGAAGAATCTCAAATATAAAATATATTTGGATTTGTTTAACACTTTTTTGGTTACTACATGATTCTATATGTGTTATTTCATAGTTTTGATGTCTTCACTATTATTCTACAATGTAGAAAATATGAAAAATAAAGAAAAACACTTGAATGAGTAGGTGTGTCCAAACTTTCGACTGGTACTGTATATTTTAAATTTTTAAATTTTGAGTCATTTAGCAGACGCTCTTATCCAGAGCGACTTACCTTTACTGAGTGCATACATTTTTCATACTGGCCCCCCGTGGGAATCGAACCCACAACCCTGGCGTTGCAAGCGCCATGCTCTACCAACTGAGATAAACTGACACACATACACTCACACATATATATATATATATATATATATATATATATATAGAGATATATATAGATATATATATATATATAGAGATATATATAGATATATAGATATATATATATAGATATATAGATATATATATATATATATATATATAGATATATATATATAGATATATATATAGATAGATATATATATATATATATATAGATATATAGATATATATATATATATATATACACACACACACACACACACACATACATACATACATACATACATACATACATACATACATACATACATACAGTGGGGAGAACAAGTATTTGATACACTGCCGATTTTGCAGGTTTTCCTACTTACAAAGCATGTAGAGGTCTGTAATTTTTATCATAGGTACACTTCAACTGTGAGAGACGGAATCTAAAACAAAAATCCAGAAAATCACATTTGTATGATTTTTAAGTAATTAATTTGCATTTTATTGCATGACATAAGTATTTGATCACCTACCAACCAGTAAGAAGTCCGGCTCTCACAGACCTGTTAGTTTTTCTTTAAGAAGCCCTCCTGTTCTCCACTCATTACCTGTATTAACTGCACCTGTTTGAACTCGTTACCTGTATAAAAGACACCTGTCCACACACTCAATCAAACAGACTATGTTACAGCCTTATTCTAAAATTAAATACATTGTTTTTTTCCCTCATCAATTTACACACAATACCACATAATGACAAAGCAAAATCAGGTTTTTAGATTTTTTTGCAAATTTAGAATAATAAGAAAAAACTGAAATATAACATTTACATACGTATTCAAACCCTTTACTCAGTATTTTGTTGAAGCACCGTTGCAGCGATTACAGCCTTGAGTCTTCTTGGGTAAGACACTACAAGCTTGGCACACCTGTATTTGGGGATTTTCTCCCATTCTTCTTTGCAGATCCTTTCAAACTCTGTCAGGTTGGATGGGGAACGTCGCTGCACAACTATTTTCAGGTTTCCACAGAGATGTTTGATCGGGTTCAAGTCCAGGCTCTGGCTGGGCCACTCAAGGACATTCGGAGTCTTGTTCCGAAGGTACTCCTGCGTTGTCTTGGCTGTGTGCTTAGGGTTGTTGTCCTGCTGGAAGGTGAAACTTCGCCCCAGTCTGTTGTCCTGAGCGCTCTGGAGCAGGTTTTCATCAAGGATTTCTCTGTACTTTGCTCCATTCATCTTTCCCTCGATACTGACTAGTCTCCCAGTCCCTGCCGCTGAAAAACATCCCCACAGCATGATGCTGCCACCACCATGCTTCACCGTAGGGATGGTGCCAGGTTTCCTCCAGATGTGACGCTTGATATTCAGGCCAAAGAGTTCAATCTTGGTTTCATCAGACCAGAGAATCTTGTTTCTCATGGTCTGAGAGTCCTTAAGGTGCCTTTTGGCAAACTCCAAGTGGGCTGTCATGTGCCTTTTACTGAGGAGTGGCTTCCGTCTGGCCACTCTACCATAAAGGCCTAATTGGTTGAGTGCTGCAGAGATGGTTGTCCTTTTCGAAGGTTCTCCCATCTCCACAGAGGAGCTCTGTCAGAGTGACCATCGGGTTCTTGGTCACCTCCCTGACCGAGGCCCTTCTCCCCCTAATGCTCAGTTTGGCCAGGCGGCCAGCTCTAGAAAGAGTCTTGGTTGTTCCAAACTTCTTCCATTTAAGAATAATGGAGGCCACTGTGTTCTTGGGGCCCTTCAATGCTGCAGACATTTTTTGGTACCCTTCCCCAGATCTGTGCCTCGACACAATCCTGTCTCGGAGCTCTATGGACAATTCCTTCAACCTCATGGCTTGGTTTTTGCTCTGACATGCAATGTCAATTGTGGGACCTTATATAGACAGGTGTGTGCCTTTCCAAGTCATGTCCAAACAATTAAATGTACCACAGGTGGACTCCAATCAAGTTGTAGAGACATCTCAAGGATGATCAATGGAAACAGGATGCACCTGTGCTCAATTTCGAGTCTCATAGCAAAGGGTCTGAATACTTATATAAATCATTTATTTATTTATTTAATGTTTTTTCTAAAGACCTGTTTTCGCTTTGTCGTTATGGGGTGTTGTGTGTAGATTGATGAAAAATAATCTCTGTACCCCACACATACAATTATCTGTAAGGTCCCTCAGTCGAGCAGTGAATTTCAAACACATATTCAACCACAAATACAAGGAATGTTTTCCAATGCCTCGTAAAGAAGGACACCTATTGGTAGATGGGTTAAAAAAAAACTAAGCAGACATTGAATATCCCTTTGATCATGGTGAAGTTATTAATTACACTTTGGATGTTGTGTCAATACACCCAATCACTACAAAGATACAGGCGTCATTGTTAACTCAGTTGCCGGAGTGATAGGAGAAAACTGAGGATGGATCAACAACGTTGTAGTTACTCCACAATACTAACAAATGACAGAGTGAAAAGAAGGAAGCCTGTACATAATTAAAATATTCAAAAACATGCATCCTATAAGGCACTAAAGTAAAACTTTCAAAAGAAATTGCAAAGAAATTAACTTTATGTCCTGAATACAAAGCGTTATGTTTGGGGCAAATCCAACACATCACTGAGTACCACTCTTCATATTTTCAAGCATGGTGGTGGCTGCATCATGTTATGGGTATGCTTGTCATCGGCAAGGACTAGGGAGTTTTTGTAAGGATAAAAATAAATGGAATAGAGCTAAGCACAGGCAAAATCCTAGAGGAAAACCTGGTTCAGTCTGCTTTCAAACAGACACTGGGAGACATTCACTTTTCAGCAGGAAAATCACCTATAACACCTAAAAGTTGCTTATCAATACGACATTGAATGTTCCTGAGTGTCCTAGTTACAGTTTTGACTTAAATCATCTTGAAAATCTATGGCAAGACATGAAAATGCTGTCTAGCAATGATCAACAATCAACTTCACAGAGCTTGAAGAATTAAAAAAACTATAATGTGCAAATATTGTGAAATCCAGGTGAGGAAAGCTCTTAGAGACTTACCCAGAAAGATTCACAGCTGTACTCGCTGCCAAAGGTGATTCTAACATGTATTGACTCAGGGGTGTGAATACTTATGTAAATGATATTTCTGTATTTCATTTTCAATAAATTTGCAAACATAAAAAAAAAAAAACATGTCACTTTGTCATCATGGGGTATTGTGTGTAGATGGGTGAGAGAATAAAAAAATAAAATGTATTTTCAATTCAGGCTGTAACACAACAGAATAACTTGAGGGGTATGAATACTTTCTGAAGGCACTGTATATATATTTAGATTTAGCAGACGCTTTTATGTGCGTGGCAGAGGAAAGATGTCCAAAGAAAAAGTGAGAAGTTTTAAGGCCAAGATTTCTAATTAATGTGCCATGTGTGTCACGGATTAGACTTGAGATTGACTTCCTAATTTCAGTTACCATAGGATGTTGTTAACCTTTAACTCCCCTCTACCAATAGATATGACGCTGCATTGGGTTGACTTTCTTTGGCTGTGACAGGCCATAATAAAGGGATAGTTCACTTTTTTTAAGTGTAGGTTATTTTTTACTTACCTAGAATGTTATCGTTTCCATCCGATTTCAGACCTCAAAGTGAACTACCCTTTTAAACTCTTCTCTTTTATCCTTCCCCAGATCTTCTTCTCCTTCATGCTGACCCCTCTGTTTAAGAAGCCTAAGTTTGCCAGTACGGTGGGCTCAATGCTGACTGTGGTGTTCGGCTGCCTGTCCCTGTTCACTGTCCTGATGAAGGACTTTCCCCAGCCGCTGGTCTGGGTTCTCTGTCTGCTGTCCCCCAGCGCATTCTCCATCGGCATCGCCCAGGTAACCAACACAGTCAACACCCGTGTCGTGTTCATTCAGCACCAAACTGGAGAAAAGGGACCGAAACAGGGAGCGACTAACTGGACTTGGCCAATAGAAGCGCACATTTTCTGTTGCGAAACGGTGCAAAGTTTGGTAACAGAATCATAGAACAAACAGCACAAACCGTCATTCTGTTACCAAACTTTGCATCTGCAAATCTGTTGTTAAAGTAAATGTGTTTTTGTACAATTTTCTGTGGAAATTGTTACAAGTAATCCTTGTGTATAAAGTGTATGGTTTGTTTAATTTGTAATCATTGGTTTTTGTTTGACATACATTTTAAAGTGGAAAAACCGGACTCACAGCATCAGCCTGTTACCGTGGAATTGCCCAACATTTTATTGTCAATGTTGTCCAGGACAAAGTGTGCAATGTTTACAGAGACCACCCCCATGTAATACAGCTATTCTGTTCTATTCTCTTTGTGTCGAGGTGGTGTACCTGGAGGCCCAGGGGGACGGAGCTGTGTTCTCTACCCTGGCCAACGGCCCCCATCCCCTCTACGCCCCCCTTCTCATGCTGGTCCTGGACTGTATACTCTACCTGCTGCTGGCTGTCTACCTGGACCAGGTCCTACCAGGTACTGTTTTGACTTCTCCTCTCTTCTCAACACATGAAGGAAGTATTGATTTCATTTAACCTTTACTCATACAGCTTGGTCTTGATTGAGATTTATTTTTTTCAAGAGAGACCTGTCTATTTACCACAAATGACCTTCCATATTTCTGTATCCTTCGTCCAGGTGAGTTTGGCATGCGGCGCTCCCTGGTCTACTTCCTAAAGCCGTCCTATTGGTCCAAGCGCAGTAAGCGCTACGTCGAGGTGAGCTCTGTGTGCGAGACGGAGGTGAACGGGGCCCCAGGAGTGGATGAGTCTGTGGAGCCCGTCTCTCCGGAGTTCAGGGGGAAAGAAGCCATCCGGTAAGAGCCTCCCCTTTATACCCTTTCCACACTACTGATCTAAGCCAAGCTGTACTGAGCTGGCCTGGTTACGCATCCACCATAGTTGCTTGAAGCGTCCTGTCCAATGGGTGTAGTTGTACATGAAGCTGCCTCACGCTCGGACAGGGCTACTTACTTTACCTCTATAGTTGCTTGAACCATGCTGGAAAGGACAATGTGAAGGGAACACAGTAAGGTTCGGGCCGGCCCTATAGTGTGAATCAGTGCCTGACTGTCCCTGTTAGATAAAAGCAACATTCCCTTCACGTCAGTTCTGATGGTGCCTGATATGAAATGTTTTGGTGCAGATGATCTTTCTTTCTTATCATAATGCTCCTGTCCCTGGCTGGAAGAGAACACTTGTCTCTCTGTAACAAGTGGGTTTGAAAATAGACTCTGTGGCCGCCTCAGCCCGACAGGTCCGGATCGGGCCGATATATCCTCTTACATTATGGAGAAACCTGGCCCCATTATTGACTTTCCAGGACAGAAATACAGGCTTTTAGAGTTACCAGGGGAAAAGAGAACCTCAGCTGAGCTGAATCGATATAGATGAGCACCTGATAGGAACCCACTGGCTTGGTCTGCTGGCAGCCTGGACACTTCCATTAGCTTTGACCCAGAAAGACTGAGTGCCAGATTGAAACCTGTTGTTGTTGTTTACCCTCGTCTCTGTATCTCCCCACCCTGGCAGCATTAACAACATCCGCAAGGTGTACAAAGAGAAGGACAGCATCGTGGAAGCTCTGAGGGGTAAGGCTTATTCCTCTACGTATTTCTCGTCAGCCTTGTGTGGAGCCTCTTTTCTAGTTGTCATATCTAACAGACAAATTGGAAATTGCCAGAGTTCTGAACTTCCTTAACAGATCCTGATGTTGTCTTTCTCTGTTAATCCTCATCCATGATTAGGCTTAATCTGTGTCCGAGAAGCTGGCTCCATATGAGGCTCTTCGTAGAACCTAATGTCTTTATGTCAACCCTCCCCTTCTATCCAGGCTTGACCTTTGACATCTACGAGGGTCAGATCACGGCCCTCCTGGGCCACAGCGGAGCGGGGAAGTCCACTCTGATGAACATCCTGTGTGGGATCTGCCCTCCGACCGACGGCCACGCCTCCATCTACGGCTCCCCGGTGGCAGAGATTGCTGAAGGGGCAGAGATGAAGCAGCTGGTTGGCATCTGCCCTCAGTTCAACATCATCTTTGACGTGCTGACTGTAGAAGAGCACCTGAGGATATTCGCTGCCATTAAAGGGATTCTCCCCTCTGACATTGACAATGAGGTGACGGGATTTGTATTACCAGTACAGATATTGATAGCGGCTATTTTCAAGAAGGTTTTACTTGTGATGTTGTGCTGCTGTAAGCTGTTTCAAGTCACTCTGGATAAGAGCGTCTGCTAAATTAGTAAAATGTAAATGTAAAATGCATCATATATGATCACTCGGTCACTCTAGCATGGCTGGTTGTTAACTGGCGGGCCTTTGTTGCTTCTGTATTTCTGAATTCAGCTTCAACTCACAAGATGGATAATATTGAGTCAGTGTTGTTTGTGATTACATCCTTTTCTCTCCCTCCTTCCACCTGTGTGTTTGATCTGTCCATTAGGTCTCCAAGGTGCTGAAGGATCTAGATCTGGAGAAGATCATGGACGCCCAGGCTAAGAACCTGAGTGGAGGCCAGAAGAGGAAACTGTCTGTGGGCATAGCCATTCTGGGAGACCCCAAGGTAGCTGGATCCTGGGTCATCCACCTTCACAACACAAGACAAATGGCCTTCTTCTGGGGTTCATTTCAGACTTTATAGGACTGGTTTCCCAGACCCAAATGTCTCTCTCTCTCTGTCTCTCTCTGTCTCGTGTGTCTGCCTGTCTGTCTACATGTCTGTCTGTCTGCTACCGCACGGCAAGTGGTACCATTGCACCAAGTCTGGATCCAACAGGACCCTGAACAGCTTTTACCCCCAAGCCATAAGACTGCTAAATAGTTTTAATTTTTTATTATATTTTTGGGGGGATAGATCAGCTTTAATAGTGCAGATAGATTATAGATTCCATCAATGTCATTGTCTGCATCATTTCCAATCCCCCATATATTTTTGTAAATATATACATACATACATGCATATATTTTTTAAATATATTTTCCTTTATTATTTTCCCCTAACCCTTACCCACCCCTCTCCTAATTGGAGTAAACTAATGGACAACAACACTTAGGCTTCTATTTCCAGCTTATACATACTATATACATTTTACGGACAAAATGCACCTTACAGCAATTATCTTTTGTTTGTTTTTAATCCCATCCTTCAGCTACCATCAACCCCTCCCATCCATCTCCGAAGCCCATCCAGCTTGATTTCTACTTTGTCATATATTTTTAACTGTGCCATTTCACAAAAGTGCCGAACCCATATACATTTTACGGACCCAGCATATTTTACATTAGTTATCTTGTTGTTTTTAATCCCACGCTTCAGCTCCACTCAACCCCTCCCAAACAGCTAACCGGACTATCTGCATTCACCTTTTTTGCATCATCACATACGCTGCTGCTACTGTTTATTATCTGTAACTTTATTCCTAGTTATATGTACATATCTGCCTCAATTACCTCGTACCCTTGCACATCGACTCAGTACTGGTACCCCTTGTCTATAGCCAAGTTATTGTTACTAATTGTGTATCTATTGTTACTTTTATTATTACGTGTTTTACTTTTCTATTATTTCTCTATTTTCTTTCTCTCTGCATTGTTGGGAAAGTCCCGTAAGTAAGTATTTCACTGTTAGTCCACACCTGTGTCCACACATGTGACTAATAACATTTGATTAGATTTTGTGTGTGTGTATATATGTTTAGATCCTGCTCCTGGATGAGCCTACGGCTGGTATGGACCCCTGTTCCAGACACCAGGTGTGGTCTCTGCTGAAGAGTCGCAGAGCAGGCAGAGTCACAGTGCTCAGCACACATTACATGGACGAGGCAGACATACTGGCTGGTACACCCATCTCTTCCCTCTCTATGTCTAACAATGTGTTCATCTGTAGCAGGGTTCTCTTTAACCCTCAATACACTTACATCTTTCACACTCCATTTTGATTTATCTCTTTCTCGATATCTCTTTCGATTTCTTTCTCTCTCTTTCTGTATTTTCCCGTTCCCTTCTTCTAGACCGCAAAGCTGTGATCTCTCAGGGCCAACTCAAGTGTGTTGGTTCTTCCCTATACCTCAAGACCAAGTGTGGAGTAGGATACCACCTCAGGTAAGTTCGGCAGACAGCTCTCCAAATTTCACTTAAAATGCACTATAAAACGTATCTCGTCCTAAAGCATTTTGACCCATTTAAGCCATCCAGCACATTGTTTCTTTGTAAATTATGTTGTTTGATGACAGTAAGATGAATGCATACATACCACAGCTAAATAAGATGTTTTCTTCCTATAGAATGTCTATTGGTGAACGGTGCGAGGTGGATAGTGTCACCTCATTGGTCAAGCACCACGTCCCCAAGGCGCAGTTGTCACGGCAACAAGAGGCTGAGCTGACGTTCACCCTCCCTTTCGAAAGCATGGACACCTTTTCAGGTCAGAAACAAATCTCTGTACTAAGACTCAGTTGATAGCTAATATCATAGGAATATAATTCCTATTGAGTGTACCCATGAGGGGGAAGTCAAATTGCTATGGTCCGAGGGGCTATTCACCTTCTAGGAATTATATTGCTATGGTTCATCAATATCAGGTAGAGTTTTAGATCTGTGGTTCTGTACTTACTGTACCTTGACTTCACTCCCTTTCTCAGGATTGTTCTCAGAACTAGACTGCAGGCCAGACCTGGGCATCATCAACTACGGGGTGTCCATGACAACGCTGGAGGACGTGTTTCTGCGTCTGGAGGCTGAGGCTGAGGTGGACCAGGCTGGTAAGCCTTCCTTCCTTTCCCTCGTTCTGTACGAAGCAGGGCTCCAAATTCACATTTTTCATTGATAGCACTGGTCTCTCAACTTAAAAAAGTTAGGAGCACCACATGAAATGTAGGCGCACCAGAAAATACGATTTGTATTTATTGAGATACGGCCTATATTTATTCTAGCTACTTTTGAAGCACATGTTGTGCCTTAGAAACTAATATGTAACACTGTAAAGACATTAGTTTATGTTAAAAGCTAAAATGTTTATCTGAATACCTGTCATTTAAATTACAAAGTAATTTGTGGAATATTAGGTTTTTACATTGTGTAAAAGCACTATTTTCCTATTGTAAATTGTACAATGTCTCTTTAAAAATGTCAGGTTTGTGATGACGACATGCAAGAGATCTTTCATTCATTCATTGCTATGATCATTGATCTCCTGGAGAAGCTATCCCTTTTCCTTTCTTTCTGTGCCCCCAAATGTTTGGATAATAATAATAATAATAATAATAATAATAATATAATATAATAATAATAATAATATAATATAAATAATATGCCATTTAGCAGACGCTTTTATCCAAAGCGACTTACAGTCATGCGTGCATACATTATTTTTTTTTTGTGTATGGGTGGTCCCGGGGATCGAACCCACTACCTTGGCGTTACAAGCGCCGCGCTCTACCAGCTGAGCTACAGAGGACCACACATGGATATACTGGTAAAGTTACCAGGTTGTTAGCTAGCTAGCCAATGAGGTAACATGATTGAACAAAGTGTAAACAAATTATTAACGACGCGCGTGTAGTTTTAGAACGACCCACGACTTGGTTTATGAATGTAAAATGCGGTCCTGGCGATCCGCTATAGGAAGATAAAAATGTTGCGCCGGTAATATGAGTCCGATCTTTTGACCTGGTTGGGCTAGAAGCAAGCCGTTTTCGCTTTTTTCTCTAGGGTACTCGGAAACAACGGTACAGTGAAGCCTTATCATTATAACAACTATTATCTGGAAGATTTTTTTCATAGTCGCACAGTGCTCCCAAAATAAAACTCCTTCGTCGCACTTTAGAGCCCTGCCCTTGTGGAAAAACCACATGATTTCAGATGTGGGAAATCACATGAATGCACAAGTGAAACCATGTGTTTTTGGAACACTTCACATGTGATGATCTGGATTTTCACATGTGAAACCATGTGTTTTTGGAACACTTCACGTGATATTTGACGTGATTGCATACACTCAAGAAAAACTATTATATATATCATAGTGATTCAAGAGTACCATTAAAACAGAATAATATGCCACACCAACATTATACAACTATACAGAAAACCCTCAAATTGATGAAATAAGTAAATGAAATCAATGATGAGAGAATAGTCAGAATAACAGTCAAAACTGTTCGCTGCTCTGGCACCCCAATGGTGGAACAAGCTCCCTCACGACGCCAGGACAGCGGAGTCACTCACCACCTTCCGGAGACATTTGAAACCCCACCTCTTTAAGGAATACCTGGGATAGGATAAAGTAATCCTTCTAAATGACGTAAATGTAAATGTAAATGAATAACTGATAACTAAAATAGCAGTGCAGATGGCAGTCTTTTTCTAAGTGCGGAGATGTATTATAGGTAATGAATGTGTATGGGAATGCTACAGACTTTGTGGCGCAGCAGAAAGGTCAGTGTACCTCAAATCCAGAGGTTGTGCATTCAAATTCCAGGTTGGGTCATACTTTAGCTGAACAGCGATAACAAATGCAATTCCACATGTGAAAACGTGATCATGTGAAGTAAAAAATAAATCACGTGAAGTGTTCCAAAAACACGTTTTGACATGATTTCACGTGAAATGTCAAATGTGAAGTATTCCAAAAACAGATGTTTTCATGTCTTGTGAAATCATGTGACTTTCCACATATGAAATCATGTGCTTCAATATGTGATAACATGAAACTACACTGTTAGCCATTGCTGTTAATTTTGAGGTCGATATTTGTCATTTTACTGTACATTTCTACAGTAATAGTGTTTTGCTATATTTACTGTGAATCACAATGCTCTTGGGTACTTTTTGATCCGTCCTGCAAATTAACTTGGTACGCTTCACTTGCAATTGCATTTAAACTAATAGGATACTTGTTTAGATTTCTGCAGTAAATATACTTAATAATAATAATAATAATAATCCATTTAGCAGACGCTTTTATCCAAAGCGACTTACAGTCATGCGTGCATACATTTTAAGCAGTAAGGCACGAGGGTGTGTGGTATTTGACCAATATACAACGGCTAAGGACAGTTGTTACGCACGACGCAACACAGAGTGCCTGGACACAGCCCTTAGCCGTGGTATATTGGCCATATATCACAAACCCCTGAGGTGCCTTATTGCTATTATAAACTGGTTACCAATGTAACTAGAGCAGAAAAAATACATGTTTTTTCATACCCGTGGTATATGGTCTGATATACCACGGCTGTCAGCCAACCAGCATTCAGGGCTCGAACCACCCAGTTTATAATGTGAAACAACAAACTGTAATCAGGTATACAGAAATTCCAATTACAGTTATTTTCAATACTGGAAAATTTGGAATTGGTATTTGGTTCACTTTCTGAATTGACTGGAACTTGAATGGAATTGACCTCAACATTGGTTAGCACACTTGGGACGCAACCACACCGAGGATTTGAACTCACAACCTCTTGGATGCCAGCAACCTGAATTTCCTGCTTCACCACCAGGTCTGTGGCCAAACACGTGATTACCGACACCCGCATAGCTGGTGCAGATCTGATAGAATCTAGCCCGAAGTGTGCATAAATGCTCTCGGGATTTAAACTTGCAACCTTTTGGTCTGGAGTGCCACAAGATGCGACATACAAAAAACATCCAGTCAGCAGCAGTCCTGTGGGCAAAAACACCTCGTTACCAAGAGCATACAGTTTATGAGGTACACCACCCCGTTCACGAAAATGTATCACTCCTACAGACAGTGAATCACGTGGCCCTGGCTTGTTATATAAAGCAGGCATCGAGGCATTCAGTTACTGTTCGATTGAACGTTAGAATGGGCGAAATGAGTGACCTAAGCGACTGAGCATGGTATGATTGTCGGTGCCAGGCGTGCCTGATCCAGTATCTCAGAAACGGCCACCCTCCTGGCTTTTCACGTACGAAAGTGTCTAGGGTTCAGGGCATAACATTTTCTTTTTGGTGCACCAGCCACTGTGGCAGGGAGATTTAAAAATCTACCAGCCACTCAGATTTTTTACCACCCAAAATATTTTTGGGGCATTCAAATTATACCAACAAAACACACAAAAACGGATGAGCATGCTTTGTAATGTTTCTAAAACAATAAATGTATTACTAGTAAGAAGTAATGTGGTATATTGTTTAATTAAGTCTTTTAACCAAAATATCACAGATGAGACACAGAAATTCACCTGCCCCTTTAAATCAAATCAAATGTATTTATAAAGCCCTTTTTACATCAGCAGATGTCACAAAGTGCTTATAAAAAAAAACATCCTAAAACCCCAAACAGCAAGCAATGCAGATGTAGAAGCACGGTTGCTAGGAAAAACTCCCTAGAAAGGCAGGAACCTATGAAGAAACCTAGAGAGGAACCAGGCTCCGAGGGGTGGCCAGTCCTCTTCTGGCTGTGCCGAGTGGAGATTATAAGAGTACATGGCCATTAATGCAAGACCGTTCTTCAAGATGGCGGGAGGTTACCGTGGTAGCGCGACTCGAGTCATGTTTGTGCCTGTGAGATTGGGTCTGACTAGTAGAAGCATTCTCTTCTCTTCCCTAGCAGTTGAAACTCAAACATAGAAAAACAATCTAGCATGTGAACAAAACAATATAAATAGCCAAGAACCACAAGGACAAAGTCTCACTTCAGTAGACTTTAATTTTAAGTAAATTAGACCAACTTTTATGCCTGTGTGCAGCGCTTCTAAAAATGAATCTTTCACTCCACTCTTTACGTGCGCACAGCCCCCAGCCAGGCAGTGTTGCAGCGTGAGGTGGAATAGGCCATTTAGGATTCGTAGTTCTTTGACTTTGTGCGATTATTTTACCAGCTATGAAAGAATACGGCAGAAATACTTTGAAAACAGCTACTGCAGCATTTATTTTACTATAAATGTGATCATACTTTACTATTTTTACTGAAAAATGCAAGTGAAATGCTTGCACTGTGGAGCCCTGACCACCCGCCAACGTGGCTGGTGAAATAAACATCTTACACGCCAGTGCCAAAATCTACCCGCATTTGGCAGGTGGCTGGTGTTAATTTTAGGCCCTGCTAGGGTTTACCGAGAATGGTGCGACAAACCAAAAAACATCCAGTCAGCAGCAGTCCTGTGGGTGAAAACAGCTCGTTGATGAAAGAGGTCGAAGGAGAATGGCAAGAATCGTGCAATCTAACAGGCGGGCCACAAACAGACAAATAACGGCGCAGTACAACAGTGGTGTGCAGCATCTCGGAAAGCACAACTCGTCGATCCTTGTTACGGATGGGCTATTGCAGTAGAGGATCAGCTAAAACAAGAAGAAGTGGCTCCAGTGGGCATGTGATCACCAACACTGGACAATTGAGGAGTGGAAAAACATCACCTGGAACATGACAGTGAGTTCAGTTTACTCGAATGGCCTGCGCAGTCCCCAGACCTGGAACCAATAGAGCATCTTTGGAATGAGATGGAATGGGCTGTTCGCATTATGAATGTACCACCATCCAATCTGCAGCAACTGCGTGATGCCATCGCGTCATCATAGACCAAAATCTCCTTGGAACGTTTCCAACACCTTGTTGTTCTGGACGCAAAGGGGGTCCGACCCGGTACTAGATGGGTGTACCTAATCAACTGGCCGGCGAGTGTATATCCACACACTCTCAAATATAAGAGAACGGTTACGGTACAGTGTTGTTCCTTGGTGTACTAAAAGGTCAAAGGTACACATAAGGAACCTTCAGAGGTACACATAGGAACTCACATGGTACTGGTCGGTACCTTTTTAGGGTACATGTAGATAATCTAGTATATCGGGACATTTTTCTACCCAATATATTAAATATAATGCTGCGTTCATAACCATGTGGGAGGTGGGAATTTACCAGTTGTGAAGTCGTAAATACCAGTTGGATGCATTCATGTGCTTTGAACTTGTTGAGAAACGCCAATTGGCTAATGGCCAACAAGCTGTGTCAACCATAAACTAAAAGTACAGCTATTATGCTTGTAAAGAAATTATAGAGTAAAAAAAAACATATTAATAGATAGCTTTTTATAAATAATGTTTTGTTACATTTAATTGCCGGAAAAGCTGTTATTGAGGTAATTTCCTTAGTAGGTGATGTCAGAGGTCAGCATGTGGGAGAAGTCAGAACTCCGGGATGATAGATGCATTTCCCACTAGTAATTCCCACTTCCCACTTGATTACGAACGCAGGATTGGGTACAATCATTACTGCACTTTGAAATGTAGGTCGGGGCAATGTGCTGGCGGGGGGCATTAGCATTTTTGGGGGCATGGTCTAAAATATGTTGTATTTGTGCCATCCTTCATTGGAAATGTTGTACCAGTATAAGTGGTTTTATTGTTATGTTGATGAAGGTTGAGCACCTCTTTTGACACTGTCAGTTCTGCAATCTTTATAAGAACTTGTGACATTCAAGAGCTGCACTGTTAAGAGGTTAATGTACTTCTTCCAAAAGCTTAATGGCAGCTGGTTCACAGGAAGTTCATGTTTAGTTTTCAATAACTTACTATCAACTAGTTGCAAGTGGGTTATTGTAAAATTCACAACTTACTGTAGCTGATAGGTAAGTGAGTATTATAATAAGATGGTGACTAGCTATGAATGAAATATCATATGGCTCTTTGGTATCACATGCACTTATGTCAGCCTTTGACAAGGCTGGAGAAAAAGCTTAATGTTTATGAACAGAATATAACAGAGCACATTAACTCGGATGACATTCCCTCTCATGAGAGACCAAAAAGAGCTAGCTGAAAGCCACACTTCGAATAAGCCACTCCTACAATCTTCTGATAGGCTGCTGCTGCTACAGTATGCTGCCAATCAGCAAGTGGCAACCGTTTTGGGATGCATGTTTCAGCATGACAATGCCCCCGAGGTCCATACAGAAATGGTTTGTCGAGATCGGTGTGGAAGAACTTGACTGGCCTGCACAGAGCCCTGTCCTCAACCCCATCAAACACCTTTGGGATGAATTGGAACTATTCCTTTTAAAGTAGTATTCTAAATTGGACATCTCAGCTTTCACATGTGCTCAAATGTTGTCTCGTAATTTCATGTTCTCACATGTTTACATTTTGCATCCCAATGTTGTCACATTTATTTCACGAGATCATGTTCTCACATGTTGTCACGTTTGCTTCACATGTTGTCACATGTTATCACATTAACTTCACATGTGATCACGTGAAATTCATGTGGTTTTTCCGTAAGGGTGGTACTAAGCCTTTTTGTCTACATGGGTTAGAGCAGCATGTCATCTCTGAAGTATATTTACATTAAGTAGATACAATCTACTTACAACTATGATACCTGGGTCGTATTCATTAGGCACAGAACGGAAGAAAACTGACTGAAACAGGGAGATGACTACCAGAACTTGTCCAATTAGAAATTGTATTTTTCATTTTCTGTTCAAAAACTTTTTCTACAGTGTGCCGTAAAAGTACGACCCTGTTGAGTAGCCTAATAACATATTCCTCTCTCTCACCCCTCCCGTCTCCAGACTACAGTGTGTTCAACCAGGAGCAGGTTGAGGATGATGGTGATGCATCCTCTCTGGACGACACTGACCAAAGACTACTGACCTTCTCTGACAGCAAGCCAGAGGCGGTCCAGGGCCATGCTCTTTGGAGGCAGCAGTTCAGCACCGTGGCCTGGCTACACATGCTCAACATGCAGAGAGAGAGGAAGGCCTTTGTCTACACGTGAGTCTGGGGGGGGAACTGCTTACCTCTCTATTACCTAACCTATAATGACGTTATTGACCTTATACACTGTGTTGTTGTACTAAGGCTATAGGTAAGGTAATAGGGAGTTAAGCAGTTCTCTCCCCATATGCTCAACATGTAGAGAGAGAGGAAGGCCTTTGGCTACACACGGGTTAGTCTGGGATGAGAAGGACAGGGAACTGTTCTGGTCTGGGTGTGAACTCCAACACAGTGTCGGTGTGGGCCAAAGGTTCATTTGATACTTGTGGTGGCAGAGGAGCTTTCCACATAGTGTCTGAGAGACAGTTACTCTATGTATTTCTCTCTCTCTCTCTCTCTCTCTCTCTCTCTCTCTCGCTCTCTCGCTCTCTCGCTCTCTCCCCCTCCCCCTCTCAGTCTGGCATTGTTCCTGGTCTTCCTAGCTGCTGTGCTAGTGTTGTCTCTGGCTACGGGGAACATCCAGATCCACGCTCCAGAACGCCAGTTTGTCCCTATCTACCTGCTGAGACCGAACCAGGCCCCCCGGAAATACACCACCAGTCTACTGGTACAGAACTCATCAGGTACGTCAGCCAATCAGTCAGGAAATACACCACCAGTCTACTGGTCCAGAACTCATCAGGTACGTCAGCCAATCAGTCAGGAAATACACAACCAGTCTACTGGTCCAGAACTCATCAGGTACGTCAGCCAATCAGTCAGGAAATACACCACCAGTCTACTGGTCCAGAACTCATCAGGTTAGTCCATACTCTCTTCTATACTGTGAACTGATACTCTTGAATACTGTGTTCTCCTCCCATCACTACAGCTCTGAAATACTGTATGTTCTCTATCTATCTCTTCCCAAGCAGTAGAGTTCCTAGCAGCATTTGTTCACAGAATATGAATGGCTGAATACAAGAGTAGAAACACTCGTTAGAAACACACAGAACTACTTCTGTGACCTTCTGTGGTCTGTTTCTCTGTGCAGGCTCAGATATCTCCGACTTCATCCATAACCTGGAATCTCAGGACATCAAGGTAGAGATGATGAAGAACACAGACTACATGTCCTGTGCTCCTCACAGCGCAGCCATCAACGTCACCGGATCCAACAAGGTGAAAAATAATAACCCCTCTTATACAGGAGAAGGGCGACATTCTCTCTCTCTCTCTCTCTCTCTCTCTGTGGGCGGAGCAGAGGTTTACCCTCTGGTTATATGCATGATGAGAATGGTTCTAAATTGAGTGCTATATGGAGTGCTCTTAGGCTGAGGCTAGTTATGCAACAAGTGCCCTAATTGATAGTAGTGTGCTTCAGTAGAGTGGTTCTCGTTTACCCTGGCTGTCTGCCTATGGTGCAGGGCCACATAGGATGTTTTTACACAGGCAGCACAATTCTGAATTCCCCCCCCCCAATCAAATCAGCTCTTTTGCCAATAATTGGGGCATAAGATCAGAAGGCTGACTGTGTAAACACAGTCATAGAGAGGCCACTGATGCCACTTTAAATGCCCAGTCCTTGATTGACTCTTCTTCTGTCTGGTTATAGGGTTTCTGTTAAGCATAGCTTTGCGCAAGTACACCCACACACACTCACACGTACAGACAACCATTGACAACAGACACTTTTTCCTTTCTCTGGTATGCAGGGTTTTAGATACAGTGTAGCGTTCAACAGTACTACCGTCCACTCTTTGCCCATGACAGTCAACGTCCTCAGTAACGCCATCCTACGAGGTCTCAACGGCACACAACACATCAACACCTGGACCAAGCCCTTCGACTATGTAAGTCAAGTCCAATGAGATGAATTATGGAAATAACACCGTGATGGTTCAGTTGCAATAGTCTTGAAAAATGAAGTAAAATTCTATCTAAAACTTGTTACAGATATACACAAGCAATAAAGTATCTTTATCCCTGTATCTATCGAATCTTTCTATCGAATTAACAAACGGTGTCTGAAAGAGTGAGCATCATGCTACAAGAATTTGACATTCCCTCTGTTCTTCTCCTCAGCAAATTCCCGACGCCACGTCCTATGCTCTGGTCTACATCGAGGCTATCATACTGGGAATGCTAGCTGCGGGCATGCCTGCCTACTTCGCCATGGACCACACCCGAGACAGAGAGGTTAGCACTAAGCAGTCGATTCACGGAATAGCAGACTCCATGAATACTGTCTGGCACTGCTCGAATGCAGGAATGTCTGGAGCTTTCAGTTTTTTCCCGATTCAGAAATGACCTCATTGGTGATTGATTGAACAAAAATAGCGGTGAAACTGAAAGCCTACAATACAACAAAACAGGCACTTTTTTTGTGATCTACTGTACATTCAAAAGCATTAATTGAATATGCTTTCCATATTAATTGATTGACTGTTTGATTTTATAGATTTTTCCTTTCTCTTCTCCGTCCTAGATAAAGTGCCGTTCAACGCTGCGTATCTCTGGCCTGGTCCCGTCTGCGTACTGGTGTGGTCAGGCTGCGGTGGACATCCCCTTCTACTACCTCATACTGACCACCATGACCAGCATCCTCTTCTCCTTCCATACTGCCAACCTGCTCACCTCCAGCAACGTCACCGCAGTGGTCAGTCAGTTAGACACGCACACTTCCATGATCAGTCACATAGACACAGAAACAATACACACATACACTCCCTCAGACTGACTCTCTCTCTCCATCCCCTTTTCTATAGATCCTGTGTCTGATAGGTTTTGGTCCAGCTATGATCCTGTTCGCCTATGTGGTGTCTTTCATGTTCACACGCGTCCAGAGTAACAGAGACTTCTTCTCTGTGGTCTCCATGATGGTGAGAACAACAACCTTCCCTCCCTGTCACACAACATTTATACAACATTCACACAACATTATTACAATGTTCTTACAATGTTCACGCAACATTCTTACGTTTTTACAATGTTCACACATTATCACAATATTCACACAACAGTCTTACAACGTTCACACAACATTATTACAACATTCACACAACATTCTTACAATGTTATTAAAACCCAGTGAGTAGTCTTTATTATTAAGTTTCCTCTATAGTGAAAAAAAACAAGGGAAAGTAGATTCATGATTTGTGTCAATGTGGGAGCAGCTATATTACTTTGTGTTCGGTTCTTTTGTGTGTGTGTGTGTGTGTGTGTGTGTATGTGTGTGTGTCGGTCTGTTGCATACTAGGTGTGTGTGGTGTCTGCCTCCATCGTCCAGCTGTCATTTGTGAACGACAACCCCGGGCTGACAAGGATCCTCCACAATACACTATGTTTCTTCAACCCTCTCTACCCCTTAATGGGCTGCCTTAACTCTATCACCAAGGCCACCTTTCTGCCCTCCCTCTATGAAGAGGACTTCCTCTGGAAGAACCTGCTCATTGCCGTCCTATCTGTAAGTAGCAGGAAATGCCCTGGACATTATAGTAGGAATAGGAGTCAGAGTACAGAGATGTTGGGGTGTAACATGGATTGGGGTTGTTGTTGTTGATTACTTTGTATCCGTTAGGAAATTATTTCTGTTTCATACAGCATGCTAGCATATCAATATTTTCGTAGACAGACATACAGCACATCACACACATTGTTTCTCTCCAGCCCTATCTGCAGTGCATCCTGCTGCTGTTCATGCTGCGCTGGTTGGAGATCCGCTACGGAGGGAGGACCATGAAGAATGACCAGTTCTGCAGGTAAGGGAGGAGAGAAGAGGGGGGGCAGGGCTACTCAGAGGGTCAATGAATAGGGAGAGAATGTTGATAAAAAATATCACACAACTAAAGTCATAGTTAAAGGCCCAGTGCAGTCAAAAAAAGGACTCACATACAGTAGAATAGAGAACCATTTGTACAAACTGGCTGAAATGATTAACACAGCCGTTCACAAAGGTTAATTTGGAAGGGATATAAATACAGCACTAATTTTGCTTTTATTAAAAAAAGAAAAGGACACCACCCAGTGCTCTCACTATCACCCCCTATCTTTGATAAAAACAGATATTAAACTATTTTCTAAAATTCTGTCATCCCCTCTCGAAACTTACTTACCCAAATTGGTACATCCTCAGATAACCTCCGTCATCTATTACACACAGTATCTTATTACATACAGTATCCTCAGAAACCAAAGCTCCTTGGGCAGTTCCTTGGGCAGTTCTATCTCAGTACTCCTGAGTGGCGCAGTGGTCTAAGGCACTGCATCTCAGTGCTAACTGTGCCACTAGAGATCCTGGTTCGAATCCAGGCTCTGTCGCAGCCGGCCGCGACCGGGAGACTCATGGGCGGCGCACAATTGGCCCAGCGTCGTCCAGGGTAGGGGAGGGAATGGCCGGCAGGGATGTAGCTCAGTTGATAGAGCATGGCGTTTGCAACGCCAGGGTTGTGGGTTCGATTCCCACGGGGGGCCAGTATAAAAAAAAAAAAAGATGTATTCACTAACTGTAAGTCGCTCTGGATAAGAGCGTCTGCTAAATGACTAAAATGTAAATGTAAATGTAAAGCTTTTGATAGATTAGAATCGTCCTATCTTTGGTCAGTTTTATTAATATTATTAATTATTATTAATTATTATTAATATTATTAATATGCCATTTAGCAGACGCTTTTATCCAAAGCGACTTACAGTCATGCTGCATACATTTTTATTATTATTATTATTATTTTTATTTTTTTGTGTATGGGTGGTCCCGGGGATCGAACCCACTACCTTAGCGTTACAAGCGCCGTGCTCGACCAGCTGAGCTACAGAGGACCACATTTTGGAAAATATGATAAAAATTCTATATGCCAATCCCTCAGCCATAGTAATAACAGGCAATACCTGCTCTGTTCTGTTCAGAATAACTAGAAGTAGCAGGCAAGGTGATCCCATCTCACCTCAGCTATTTTTATTGTATATGGAGCCCCTGGCCCTCAGTTCGACAATTGAAAGAAATTACACCAATATCTCTCAATTCTACGGATCACGTCATCTCATTATACGCCGATGATATCTTACTTTATCTACAGTTGAAGTCGGAAGTTTACATACACCTTAGCCAAATACATTTAAACTCAGTTTTTCACAATTCCTGACATTTAATCCTAGTAAGAAATCCCTGTCTTAGGTCAGTTAGGATCACCACTTTATTTTAAGAATGTGAAATGTCAGAATAATAGAGAGAATGATTTATTTCAGCTTTTATTTATTTCATCACATTCCCAGTGGGTCAGAAGTTTACATACACCCAATTAGTATTTGGTAGCATTGCCTTTAAATTGTTTAACTTGGGTCAAACGTTTCGGGTAGCCTTCCACAAGCTTCCCACAATAAGTTGGGTGAATTTTGGCCCATTCCTCCTGACAGAGCTGGTGTAACTGAGTCAGGTTTGTAAGCCTTCTTGCTCGCACACGCTTTTTCAGTTCTGCCCACAAATGTTCTATAGGATTGAGGTCAGGGCTTTGTGATGGCCACTCCAATACCTTGACATTGTTGTCCTTAAGCCATTTTGCCACAACTTTGGAAGTATGCTTGGGGTCATTGTCCATTTGGAAGACCCATTTGCGACCAAGCTTTAACTTCCTGACTGATGTCATGAGATGTTGCTTCAATATATCCACATAATTTTCCTTCCTCATGATGCCATCTATTTTGTAAAGTGCACCTGTCCCTCCTGCAGCAAAGCACCCCCACAGCATGATGCTGCCACCCCGGTGCTTCACGGTTGCGATGGTGTTCTTCGGCTTGCAAGCATTCCCCCTGGAAGAGGTGGTCTTCACTGATATATCCCTTAAACAATGTAACATGGTGTCTCCTATTGCCCTGGAAGAGGTGGTCTTCACTGATATATCCCTTAAACAACGTAATATGGTGTCTCCTATTGCCCTGGAAGAGGTGGTCTTCACTGATTTATCCCTTAAACAACGTAATATGGTGTCTCCTATTGCCCTGGAAGAGGTGGCCTTCACTGAGATATCCCTTAAACAACGTAATATGGTGTCTCCTATTGCCCTGGAAGAGGTGGCCTTCACTGATATATCCCTTAAACAGCGTAATATGGTGTCTCCTATTGCCCTGGAAGAGGTGGTCTTCACTGATTTATCCCTTAAACAATGTCAACTACGCTTTGGTCCTATTATTGCTCACACAGTTTCTATTTGGCGCAAAATTGAAAAACAATGTAACTGGACCAGTAGACTGGTGGTGTATTTCCTGACTGATTGGCTGACGTACCTGATGAGTTCTGGACCAGTAGACTGGTGGTGTATTTCCGGGGGGCCTGGTTCGGTCTCAGCAGGTAGATAGGGACAAACTGGCGTTCTGGAGCGTGGATCTGGATGTTCCCCGTAGCCAAAGACAACACCAGCACAGCAGCTAGGAAGACCAGGAACAATACCAGACAGAGGGAGAGGGGGGAGAAGAAAGAGGAAGAGAGAAAGAAAGGGAGAGTGCAAGGGAGAGATCATTTGAATTACAGAGAGAGAGACAAATACATAATAACTGTCTCTCAGACACAATGTCGAAAGCTCCTCTGCCACCACGAGTATCAAATGGACCTTTGACCAACACCGACACTGTGTTGGAGTACACTAGGACCCCCACAGGCCTTACAAGACTCGTCTGAAGGTCCCCTGGTACCGGTTGAAAAAATGAATGGAAGTATATATGGAGACTGTTTAATGCCAAAAAATAAGGGGTTAAATACATTATAATAATAAATGTTTCCTGATCTTTCATATATCTCTCAGATATAGGAGAGACACTTCAGAACAAACTTCCTTTTAATATTTTTTGGGGACTATCTGTTGTTCCATGTAGAGAATCTGTTATTCAATGCATTTGTATGGGCTAATAGCAGTAAGGCCAAAAATAGTTTTTAATCAAATAATGTTTTTCTATATTTTTTTTAATACTTCAAGGGGTCTTAAAATTCAAAATCAAATAGCTAAATGATCCTTGGTGTGACCTTAAAACAATTGCATATACAGTTGAAGTCGGAAGTTTACATACACTTAGGTTGGAGTCATTAAAACTGTTTTTCAACCACTCCACAAATTTCTTGTTAACAAACTATAGTTTTGGCAAGTCGGTTAGGACATGTACTTTGTGTATGACCCAAGTAATTTTTCCAACAATTGTTTACAGACAGATTATTTCACTTATAATTCACTGTATCACAATTCCAGTGGGTAAGAAGTTTACATACACTAAGTTAACTGTGCCTTTAAACAGCTTGGAAAATTCCAGAAAATGATGTCATGGCTTTAAAAGCTTCTGATAGGCATCTAATTGACATCATTTTAGTCAATTGGAGGTGTACCTGTGGATGTATTTCAAGGCCTACCTTCAAACTCAGTGCCACTTTGCTTGACATCATGGGAAAATCAAAAGAAATCAGCCAAGACCTCAGAAAAAAGATTGTTGACCTCCACAAGTCTTGTTCATCCTTGGGAGCAATTACCAAATGCCTGAAGGTACCACGTTCATCTGTACAAACAATAGTACGCATGTATAAACACCATGGGACCATGCAGCCGTCATACCGCTCAAGAAGGAAACGCGTTCTGTCTCCTAGAGATGAACGTACTTTGGTGCGAAAAGTGCAAATCAATCCCAGAACAACAGCAAAGGACCTTGTGAAGATGCTGGAGGAAACAGGTACAAAAGTATCTATATCCACAGTAAAACGAGTCCTATATCGACATAACCTGAAAGGCCGCTCAGCAAGGAAGAAGCCACTGCTCCAAAACCGCCATAAAAAAGTCAGACTACGGTTTGCAACTGCACATGGGGACAAAGATCGTACTTTTTGGAGAAATGTCCTCTGGTCTGATGAAACAAAAATAGAACTGTTTGGCCATAATGACCATCGTTATGTTTGGAGGAAAAAGGAGGGGCTTGCAAGCCGAAGAACACCATCCCAACTGTGAAGCACGGGGTGGCAGCATCATGCTGTGGGGGTGCTTTGCTGCAGGAGAGACTGGTGCACTTCACAAAATAGATGGCATCATGAGGAAGGAAAATTATGTGGATATATTGAAGCAACTTCTCAAAACATCAGTCAGGAAGTTAAAGCTTGGTCGCAAATGGGTCTTCCAAATGGACAATGACCCCAGGCATACTTCCAAAGTTGTGGCAAAATGGCTTAAGGACAACAAAGTCAAGGTATTGGAGTGGCCATCACAAAGCCCTTATCTCAATCCTATAGAACATTTGTGGGCAGAACTGAAAAGGCGTGTGCGAGCAAGGCAGCCTACAAACCTGACTCAGTTACACCAGCTCTGTCAGGAGGAATGGGCCAGAATTCACCCAACATATCGTGGGAAGCTTGTGGAAGGCTACCCGAAACGTTTGACCCAAGTTAAACAATTTAAAAGCAATGCTACCAAATACTAATTGAGTGTATGTAAACTTCTGACCCACTGGGAATGTGATGAAATAAATAAAAGCTGAAATAAATCATTCTCTCTACTATTATTCTGACATTTCACATTCTTTAAATAAAGTGGTGATCCTAACTGACCTAAGACAGTGATTTTTTACTAGGATTAAATGTCAGGAATTGTGAAAAACTGAATTTAAATGTATTTGGCTAAGGTGTATGTAAACTTCCGACTTCAACTGTAGCTTAGTAGAACCCCCCTCCCCCGACTTAGACAGGGCTTAGACTCTGATGGGTCAATCAATCAGAGATGATTACTACTGGCAGGCAGCTACAAAAAATATGTTGGCAATCACCCCACTCTCTCCCAATTCGCCAGTGGATACAGTTACTTTTAGAAGTTATAGCATAAGAATTATCGACAGTGAGACTGAATGGTGCTAGTCAAGGAACGATTGAGGCCTGGACAAATATACTTGACTCTGTAAAGAATAATCTCAGCTAAAGCCCAACTCATACAGTGCCTTCAGAAAGTATTCATACCCCTTGACTTATTCCACATTTTGTTGTGTTGCAGCCTGAAATCAAAATGGATTACAATTATTTTTTTATCACCCATCTACACACAATACCCCATAATGACAAAGTGAAAACATGTTTTCAGAAATGTTTGCTAATTTATTGAAAATGAAATACAGAATTATGTAATTTATATAAGTATTCACACCCCTGGGTCAATACTTTGTAGAATCACCTTTGGCAGCAGTTACAGCTGTGAGTCTTCCTGGGTAAGTCTCTAAGAGCTTTCCACACCTGGATTGTGCGACATTTGCCAATTATTCTTTTCAAAATTCTTCAAGCTCTGTCAAATTGGTTGTTGATCATTGCTACACAACCATTTTCAGGTCTTGCCATAGATCTTCAAGTAGATTTAAGTCAAAACTGTAACTCGGCCACTCAGGAACATTTACTGTCTTCATGGTAAGAAACTCCAGTGTAGATTTGGCCTTGTGATTTAGGTTATTGCCCTGCTGAAAGGTGAATTAATCTCGCAGTGTCTGGTGGAAAGCAGACTGAACCAGGTGTTCGTCTAGTATTTTCTAGTGCACACAGAGTGTCTATGCAATTTATTATGTGACTTGTTAAGCAAATGTTTACACCTGAACTTATTTAGGCTTGCCGTAACAAAGGGGTTGAGTACTTATTGACTGAAGACATTTCAGCTTTTCATTTTGAATTAATTTGTAAAACTTTAGAAAAACATTCCACTTTGACATTATGGGTTATTGTGTGTAGGCCAGTGACAAAAATCTCAATTTAATCCATTTTAAATTCAGGCTGTAACACAATAAGATTTGGAAAAAGTCAAGGGATTTGAATACTTTCTGAAGACACTGTACATATAAACAATCTATAAAGCCCAATATATACATATAAACAAACAAACAAACAAAAACAAAACAAAAATATATATATATATATATATATATATATATATACTGAACAAAAATATAAACGCAACATGCAACAGTTGATATAAGGAAATCAATCAATTGAAATAAATTACTTAGGCCCTAATCTATGGATTTCACATCACTGGGAATACAAATATGCATCTGTTGGTCACAGGTACCGTTAAAAAAAAGGTAGGGGCGTGCGTTGAAAACCGCTCGCCCTCATGATGCCATGGCGTCTGCCATCTGCCCGGTACAGTTCATATCGGTATTCATCCGTGAAGAGTAATCTTCTCCAGCGTGCCAGTGGCATCGAAGGTGAGCATTTGCCCACTGAAGTCGGTTATGACGCCGAACTGCAGTCAGGTCAACACCCTGGTGAGGACAACGAGCACGCAGATCAGAGCTTGTGAGCAGAGTTGAGCGGTTGGAAATCTCGCTCCATGTCCTTTCCTACTGCTCCGCGCTCACAGGAAAGAAAACTGCCTCTCTAAATTCGCTCCATTTATTAAAATCACAATTTAACCAACACTCATCTATTTTTGTGACTACCTGGACCTACCAATTTGAAGCAAACTAAGCATTTGAAGCATTTGCGAGTGCAACACAATAGGCTGGTAGGGACATATAACCCTCAGCATTCAAACAACATTTCGTTGTATTAAATCATTATAGTCTATAAATTAAACATATAGGCTGTGACTTACTTAGAATAAATACACATTAAATTAAAAATGACTTATTCGTACCTTTGAATTCATTCTTAGAAACCAGTTTGTGGCTTCAGGCTCATGCGATGGTGCCTGGAGAGCCGGTCAGCAGCGCAGAATATCCTCTCCACACTTGCAGAGCCACTGGGGATGCTAAATACCCTTTAGGCCACTCTTGCCAGGCTGGGCAGAGATGCAGAGTTGTTGTTTTATTTTTCTGTAGGTAGGCCTAAAGGTTTTTAGGCAAAATAACCCAATCAAAACGGAAAGCTCCTTGAACGTGGGAATACGCCAGGCCTATTGGGCCAAAATCAATTATGGACGATTGTATAGATAATAGAATGAAAATGATCTAAACGTTTAAGAGATTGGATTTTAGTTTATAAATACTTTGCTACAATGACACACTCGTTATCTACCCACCTCGTTCCTTTCGTTTAGCATGTGCATGTAGCATGCTTTTGGGATACGTGTCTTTTCAGATTCCACAATTATTCTTTAGTTGTGGACACTACATCATGGCACTCCCTCTTGGTCCTCATCTTTGTAAGTCACCTTGATTTAGCACCTGTGTGTTTTATCAGTTTCTTTATGAAAATATTTAGCGAACTCCATGACAGTAGCTAAAGCAAGGGGTTACATAAGTAGACTACAAATGTATGCTGGGGCGGGTATGCCCTGAGCTCGTGAAGTGAGCGCTACTGGAGCGAAATTTGGAGCTCCAGACTTTGGGAATCTCGCTCCACGCTCCAGTCAAATTGGGCACGCTTTGCTCCAGCTCTGCTCCGCTCACATACTCTTGACGCAGATGAGCTACCCTGAGATGGTTTCTGACAGTGTGCAGAAATTATTTGATTGTGCAAACCCACAGTTTCATCAGCTGTCCGGGTGGCTGGTCTCAGACGATCCCGCAGGTGAAGAAGCCGGATGTGGAGGTCCTGGGCTGGCGTGCTTACACGTGGTCTGCGGTGTTGGACGTACTGCCAAATTCTCTAAAATGACGTTGGAGGGGGCTTACGCTAAAGAAATTAACACTAAATTCTCTGGCAACAGCTCTGGTGGACAGTCTTGCAGTCAGCATGCCAATCGCACGCTCCCTCAAAACTTGAGACATCTGTGGCATTCTGTAGGCCCCCTCTTTTTGTTTGTCTTTTCTTTACATACCAATTTTATTATTACGAAATCCTGTGTGGTCAATATGATCATTCATAATTTTTTTGGGAGTGGCAGCTTACGGTACATGAGTATAAACTAAAAGTGTGTAAATGTACATGAATATTGTACCTGTAACCCCCCAACAAAAAAATGACAAAGGAAGTTAAAACTTTGTCCAAAAAAACTAAAAATAAGCTATTGTTGTTTCTTTCTGACCATTTCAATTTAAAACAATCACAGTATGGTACTTGATGATTTGATTTTGAGATAACAACGGCTGCATTGGACCTTTAAGTCATCATAATACGCCACCTAGCCTCTATTCCAGGCTTCCTTGTGTTGAATGAGACTTGGAAGTATGGTAACATGAGACTATGAAACTGAATATTACCATTGTCTTTCCCCTGAAGGATCTCTTCCAAGACTAAGGCTAAAGTGGAGCGTAACCCAGAGGAGGGGATCAACGAGGATGAGGATGTTCAGATGGAAAAGGCTCGGGTGAAGGAGGCCCTCACCTGCCAGTGCTGTGAGGAGGTGTGTGTGTGTGTGGCCATCACGAGGTGTGTGTGGCCATCACGAGGTGTGTGTGTGTGATGATCACGAGGTGTGTGTGTTAAGTGCTTTTTGTATTCACACCTTGATCTCTGTGGAAGACGGGTCCCATCTTTGAAAGGGGATTTGCCATGTTTTGACGGTTTCCTCAGAATATCTATTAACTGTCATCAGGTCATCTAATAATCTATCTTGTGTGCACCCCCCCAGAAACCAGTAGTGGTGGTGAGTAACTTGAGGAAGCAGTATAAATGTCAACGGGAAGGCATCTCTCTCAAGAAGAAGAGGATGGTAGCCACCAAGAACATCTCCTTCTGCGTACGCAAAGGTCAGCTGAGCTTACTACTCCCAGTCCAACTGTAAGCTGTACATTTGATCAGTCAAACACTAAACGATTCCATTGCTTAACATTGAGCACATTGAGTTATGAATGCAATGATTTTGAGAGTGTATGACATATGTCCACGGCAGTGGAGGCTGCTGAAGGGAGGACGGCTCATAGTAATGGAGGGAACGGAATAAATGGAATGGTATCAAACGCGTGGTTTCCATGTACTCCATTCCAGCCATTATTATAAGCTGTCCTCCACTGAATTTAAATGGGGCTTAGGTGGTGGGGGTGGTAGGGGGCGTGCCAGGGGCGCAGTTGGCCTGTCAGTGCAGTTAAATAAATAAAACTTGAGGCCCCAATCTTGCCGGTGTAGAGAAATTATAGAAATTATTAAACCAATTTCCTGCTATTCTACACATTTTCCATGCAGCTGTTATTTTTGGGGGATAGTTTTAAAGTAGATTTCCTGCAATTCTATGCATTTTGCCATGGCTAATGCTGTGTTCTTTTGCCCAAACAAAATAACAAAATATATACTGCTAAATTAATTGTTTTTTGAATTTTCAATTCTCCCTGACTGTCTAGCTTTTATTTTGGTGGTTTTTAGTTCAAAGATTATACCCCAAAAAAATATTTAGGTCCATTATCTTTTCTACATACTTTATATCTGGTTGTAGTCGTTTAAGTTTACACTGAAAGCGTTTTTCCATCCGAAAATGTATGAACAAATATTATATACACTACCGTTCAAATGTTTGGGGTCACTTAGAAATGTCATTGTTTTCGAAAGAAAAGCAATTTTTTTGTCCATTAAAATAACATTAAATTGATCAGAAATAAAGTGTAGACATTGTTAATGTTGTAAATGGCTATTGTAGCTGGAAAAGGCTGATTTGTAATGGAATACAGTGGGGGAAACAAGTATTTAGTCAGCCACCAATTGTGCAAGTTCTCCCACTTAAAAAGATGAGAGAGGCCTGTAATTTTCATCATAAGTACACGTCAACTATGACAGACAAAATGAGAAAAATAAATCCAGAAAATCACATTGTAGGATTTTTAATGAATTTATTTGCAAATTATGGTGGAAAATAAGTATTTGGTCAATAACAAAAGTTTCTCAATACTTTGTTATATACCCCTTGTTGGCAATGACACAGGTCAAACGTTTTCTGTAAGTCTTCACAAGGTTTTCACACACTGTTGCTGGTATTTTGGCCCATTCCTCCATGCAGATCTCCTCTAGAGCAGTGATGTTTTGGGGCTGTCGCTGGGCAACACGGACTTTCAACTCCCTCCAAAGATTTTCTATGGGGTTGAGATCTGGAGGCTGGCTAGGCCACTCCAGGACCTTGAAATGCTTCTTACGAAGCCACTCCTTCGTTGCCCAGGCGGTGTGTTTGGGATCAATGTCATGCTGAAAGACCCAGCCACGTTTCATCTTCAATGCCCTTGCTGATGGAAGGAGGTTTTCACTCACAATCTCACGATACATGGCCCCATTCATTCTTTCCTTTACACGGATCAGTCGTCCTGGTCCCTTTGCAGAAAAACAGCCCCAAAGCATGATGTTTCCACCCCCATGCTTCACAGTAGGTATGGTGTTCTTTGGATGCAACTCAGCATTCTTTGTCCTCCAAACACGACGAGTTGAGTTTTTACCAAAAAGTTCTATTTTGGTTTCATCTGACCATATGACATTCTCCCAATCCTCTTCTGGATCATCCAAATGCACTCTAGCAAACTTCAGACGGGCCTGGACATGTACTGGCTTAAGCAGGGGGACACGTCTGGCACTGCAGGATTTGAGTCCCTGGCGGCGTAGTGTGTTACTGATGGTAGGCTTTGTTACTTTGGTCCCAGCTCTCTGCAGGTCATTCACTAGGTCCCCCCGTGTGGTTCTGGGATTTTTGCTCACCGTTCTTGTGATCATTTTGACCCCACGGGGTGAGATCTTGCGTGGAGCCCCAGATCGAGGGAGATTATCAGTGGTCTTGTATGTCTTCCATTTCCTAATAATTGCTCCCACAGTTGATTTCTTCAAACCAAGCTGCTTACCTATTGCAGATTCAGTCTTCCCAGCCTGGTGCAGGTCTACAATTTTGTTTCTGGTGTCCTTTGACAGCTCTTTGGTCTTGGCCATAGTGGAGTTTGGAGTGTGACTCTTTGAGGTTGTGGACAGGTGTCTTTTATACTGATAACAAGTTCAAACAGGTGCCATTAATACAGGTAACGAGTGGAGGACAGAGGAGCCTCTTAAAGAAGAAGTTACAGGTCTGTGAGAGCCAGAAATCTTGCTTGTTTGTAGGTGACCAAATACTTACTTTCCACCATAATTTGCAAATAATTTCAATAAAAATCCTACAATGTGATTTTCTGGATTTTTTTTGCTCAATTTGTCTGTCATAGTTGACGTGTAGCTATGATGAAAATTACAGTCCTCTCTCATCTTTTTAAGTGGGAGAACTTGCACAATTGGTGGCTGACTAAATACTTTTTTCCCCACTGTATGTTAGCACAGCTGAAAACTGTTGTGCTGATTAAAGAAGCAATAAAACTGGCCTTCTTGAGACTAGTTGAGTATCTGGAGCATCAGCAATTGTGGGTTCGATTACAGGCTCAACGTGGCCAGAAACAAATAACTTTCTTCTGAAACTAGTCAGTCTATTCTTGTTCTGAGAAATGAAGGCTATTCCATGTGAGAAATTGCCAAGAAACTGAAGATCTCGTAAAACGGTGTGTACTACTCCCTTCACAGAGCAGCGCAAACTTGCTCTAACCAGAATAGAAAGAGGAGTGGGAGGCCCCGGTGCACAACTGAGCAAGAGGACAAATACATTATTGTCTAGTTTGAGAAACAGACGCCTCACAGGTCCTCAACTGGCAGCTTCATTAAATAGTACCCACAAAACACCAGTCTCAACGTCAACAGTGAAGAGGCGACTCCGGGATGCTGACCTTCTAGGCAGAGTTGCAAAGAAAAAGCCATACCTCAGACTGGCCAATAAAAAGAAAAGATTAAGATGGGCAAAATAACACAGACACTGGACAGAGGAAGATTGGAAACAAGTGTTATGGACACGAATCGAAGTTTGAGGTATTCGGATCACAAAGAATAACATTTGTGAGAAGCAGACCAAATGAAAAGATGCTGGAGGTGTGCTTGATGCCATCTGTCAAGCATGGTGGAGGCAATGTGATGGTCTGGGGGTGCTTTGGTGGTGGTAAAGTGGGAGATTTGTACAGGGTAAAAGGGATCTTGAAGATGGAAGGCTATCACTCCATTTTGCAACGCCATGCCATACCTTGTGGACGGCGCTTGATTGGAGCCAATTTCCTCCTACAACAGGACAATGACCCAAAGCACAGCTCCAAACTATGCAATAACTATTTAGGGAAGAAGCAGTCAGCTGGTATTCTGTCTATAATGGAGTGGCCAACACAGTCACCGGATCTCAACCCTATTGAACTGTTGTGGGAGCAGCTTGACCGTATGGTACGTAAGAAGTGCCCATCAAGCCAATCCAACTTGTGGGAGGTGCTTCAGGAAGCATGGGGTGAAATCTCTTCAGATTACCTCAACAAATTGACAACTAGAATGCCAAAGGTCTGCAAGGCTGTAATTGCTGCAAATGGAGGATTCTTTGACGAAAGGAAAGTTTGAAGGACACAATTATTATTTCAATTAGAAATCATTATTTCTAACCTTGTCAATGACTACATTTCCTATGCATTTTGCTATATTTCCAATTCAAACTCATTTCGTGTATGTTTTCATGGAAAAACAAGGACATTTCTAAGTGACCCCAAACTTTTGAATGGTAGTGTATATACAGTTGAAGTCAGAAATGTTTATACACTTAGGTTGGAGTCATTAAAACTCATTTCTTCAACCACTCCACAAATTTCTTTTTAACAAACTATCGTTTTGGCAAGTCGGTTAGGACATCTACTTTGTGCATGACACAAGTAATTCTTCCAACAATTGTTTACAGACAGATTATTTCACTTATAATTCACCATATCACAATTCCAGTGGGTCAGAAGTTTACATACACCTAGTTGACTGTGCCTTTAAACAGCTTGGAAAATTCCAGAAAATGATGTCATGGCTTTAGAAGTTTCTGATAGACTCATTGACATCATTTGAGTCAATTGGAGGTGTACCTGTGGATGTATTTCAAGGCCTGCCTTCAAACTCAGTGCCTCTTTGCTTGACATCATGGGAAAATCAAAAGAAATCAGCCAAGACCTCAGAAAAATAATTGTAGACCTCCACAAGTTTGGTTCATCCTTGGGAGCAATTTCCAAGCGCCTGAAGGTACCAGGTTCATCTGTACAAACAATAGTACGCAAGTATAAACACCATAGGACCACGCAGCCGTCATACTGCTCAGGAAGGAGACGCATTCTGTCTCCTAGAGATGAATGTACTTTGGTGCGAAAAGTGCAAATCAATCCCAGAACAACAGCAAAGGACCTTGTGAAGATGCTGGAGGAAACAGGTACAAAAGTATCTATATCCACAGTAAAACGAGTCCTATATCGACATAACCTGAAAGGCCGCTCAGCAAGGAAGAAGCCACTGCTCCAAAACCACCATAAAAAAGCCAGACTACGGTTTGTAACTGCACATGGGGACTAAGATCGTACTTTTTGGAGAAATGTCGTCTGGTTTGATGAATCAAAAATAGAACTGTTTGGCCATAATGACCATCGTTATGTTTGGAGGAAAAAGGGGGTGGCTTGCAAGCCAAAGAATACCATCCCAACCGTGAAGCACGGGGGTGGCAGCATCATGCTGTGGGGGTGCTTTGCTGCAGGAGTGACTGGTGCACTTCACAAAATAGATGGCATCATGAGGAAGGAAAATTATGTGGATACATTGAAGCAACATCTCAAGACATCAGTCAGGAAGTTTGGTCGCAAATGGGTCTTCCAAATGGACAATGACCCCAAGCATACTTCCAAAGTTGTGGCAAAATGGCTTAAGGACAACAAAGTCAAGGTATTGGAGTGGCCATCACAAAGACCTGACCTCAATCCTATAGAACATTTGTGGGCAGAACTGAAAAAGCATGTGCGAGCAAGAAGGCCTACAAACCTGACTCAGTTACACCAGCTCTGTCAGGAGGAATGGGACAAAATTTACCCAACTTTTTCTGGGAAGCTTGTGGAAGGCTACCCGAAACATTTGACCCAAATTAAACAATTTATAGACAATGCTACCAAATACTAATTGAGTGTTTACTAGAGGCTGCTCGCCTTCTGACCCACTGGGAATGTAATGACATAAATAAAAGCTTAAATAAATAATTCTCTCTACTATTATTCTGACATTTCACATTGTTAAAATAAAGTGGTGATCGTAACTGACCTAAGACGGGGAATTTATACTAGGATGAAATGTCAGGAATTGTGAAAAACTGAGTTTAAATGTATTTGGCTAAGGTGTATGTAAACCTCAGACTTAAACTGTATATATATATTATATATATGTATATATATGTATGTATATGTATATATATGTATGTATAGATGTATGTATGTGTATATGTGTGTATATATATATAATATATATGTATATATATATATATATATATATATATATATATATATATATATATATTATATATATATATATATATATATTATACACAGTTTGTACTTAGGCGACCCGAAAAAAACACTTAGGTGGCCCGTCCAAGGATACTAATGGCAGAGAAATCCCTGAGGTCTGCACTGTGAGGCTTGGGTTTTTCAACAATGTCAATGTTCTCATAACAGAAAACCAGTATAGCAACTGTGTGTGTGTTCAGGTGAGGTGCTTGGACTGTTGGGGCCCAACGGAGCAGGGAAAAGCACCATCATGCATATGTTGTCTGGAGACACAGACCCAACCGCTGGACAGGTACACACCATTTACCCTCTCTGCCTCTTGACTGGACCCTATATGGAATTTGTAGGGCCAGTTTCCTGGACTAAAAAGTCATTTAAATTGAAAATGCCTTTTAAGCCAGGTGTACACTATACAATTTTGGTCCGGATTTAGCTGTCCCAGACAAGTTTTTGATATCGGAGAAAAAAATCCCTATGTCATTGCCTACTCAGGGTGCGAGGCCGTCACAGACGCTCGTATAATGTGAGTGGGTCAGAGACTAAATCTGAGGGCTACCGATCTCGTCTTTGAGCAGTCCCAGATGTCACGATATTTTCAAATGTATTATTAGCACAAAATCTGCAATGTGCGTATTGTGTGAGATGTGCAACGACAAGTTTTGAGAACGGTGATGAGCAATAGCCAATGAGAGCTCGTCAGAGAAGAAGCCAATGAGATGATTACGTTGTTTTGCTTCAACCATAATGTGTAGACTCTCAAGAAGGAGCGATGACTACTACTAGTATGCGTTTGTACTTGCCTTTAATCAAAGCCAAAGTGTCAAATTGTTACAGCTCTGAAGTTCACAAGCAATGTTATTCAGTTCAAAATGTTGGCTAGATATTTCAACTCTGTATGGCAAGCGTGAATGTCTGACTGAAAACATTTAAGGCTGCTTTGAGCCACAGCTCGTTGTAGCTATGTTAAATGGAATCCCATCATTATTTTCGTGAGACAGCATGGTAATTGACAATCCTCAAGACCAAGTGTGTGACCCCTGTCTGTGCCACATCGTTTAGTGTGCACACCACTACGTTGGCAAGGCAAAAGCAACTACAGGAAAGATGTTCATTTAATGTGAGAGGGTTAGCAATGTTAGGATTTTGAAAGTTGTGTAGTGTACACCCGGCTTTAGTCCACAGCTAGTCATAATCTCAGCCTTAAAGGCCCTGTGCAGTCAAAAACGTGATTGTCCTGTAGACCCCTTGACTTTTTCCAAATTTTGTTACGTTACATCCTTATTCTCAAATTGATTAAATTGTTTTTTTTCCCTCAATCTACACACAATATCCCATAATGACAAAGTAAAAGTAGGTTTTAATAAATCTTTGCAAATGTATAAAAAAAAACGGATATTACATTTACATAAGTATTTAGACGCTTTACTCAGTACTTTGTTGAAGCACCTTTGGCACCGATTACAGCCTCAAGTCTTCTTGGGTATGACGCTACAAGCTTAGCACACCTGTATTGGGGGAGTTTCTCCCATTCTTCTCTGCAGATCCACTCAAGCTCTGTCAGGTTGGATGGGGAGTGTCGCTGCACAGCTATTTTCAGGTCTCTCCAAAGATGTTCGATCAGGTTCAAGTCCGGGCTCTGGCTGGGCCACTCAAGGACATTCAGAGACTTGTCCCGAAGCCACTCCTGCGTTGTCTTGGCTGTGTGCTTAGGGTCGTTGTCCTGTTGGAAGGTGAACCTTCGTCCCGGTCTGAGGTCCTGAGCGCTCTGGAGCAGGTTTTTAAAGGATCTCACTGTACTTTGCGCTGTTCATCTTTCCCTCAATCCTAACTAGTCTCCCAGTCCCTGCCGCTGAAAAACATCCCCACAGCATGATGCTGCCACCACCATGCTTCACCATAGGGATGGTGCCAGGTTTCCTCCAGACGTGACGCTTAGCATTCAGGCCAAAGAGTTCAATCTTGGTTTCATCAGACCAGAGAATCTTGTTTCTCATGGTCTGAGTCCTTCAGTGCCTTTTACTGAGAAGTGGCTTCCGTCTGGCCACTCTACCATAAAGGCCTGATTGGTGGAGTGCTGCAGAGATGGTTGTCTTTCTGGAAGGTTCTCCCATCTCCACAGAGGAACTCTGGAGCTCTGTCAGAGTGACCATTGGGTCCTTGGTCACCTCCCTGACCTTGGCCCTTCTCCCCCGATTGCTCAGTTTGGCTGGGCGGCCAGCTCTAGCAAGAGTCTTGGTGGTTCCAAACTTCTTCCATTGAAGAATGATGGAGGCCACTGTGTTCTTGGGGGCCTTCAATGTAGCAGACATTTTTTGGTACCCTTCCCCAGATCTGTGCCTTGACACAATCCTGTCTCGGGGCTCTACGGACAAAATTCCTTCAACCTCATGGCTTGGTTTTTGCGCTGACATGCACTGTCAACTGTGGGACCTTATATAGTGCCTTTCTAAATCATGTCCAATCAAGTGAATTTACCACAGGTGGACTCCAATCAAGTTGTAGAAACATCTCAAGGATGATCAATGGAAACAGGATGCACCTGTGCTCAATTTCGAGTCTCATAGCAAAGGGTCAGAATACTTATGTAAATAAGGTCAAGGGGTCTGAATAAATTCTGAATGCACTGTATGTTTCCACACTGAGGTTGGAATAATTGTGAAAAATGTATGCCCTTTTAGTGTATGAGCTGTTTGAAAATACCATCTGAAATTTCAACCTGTTTTGGTGGGATGAAGTTTTAGCCTGCCTGTTGACATCACCAGGCAATAAATTAGTTAATAGACCAATAAGAAAGAGTTCCAATCCTCTCTGCCAATAAAACAGCTAGTTTTCAGTTGTCCCCTCCCCACTCAGACCACTCCCAGACAGTATTAACAAAATTATTTCTTGAGAAATGTATCTTTGCTTAGAAGCTATTTGTTTTCAATCAAAATGGTAAAAAAAATTAACAGTCACAGTAAGGTACTTAATTATTGCCCAGAGATTGTTTAATATTGAGACAAAAACCAGCTGCATTTCAGGTCCAATCTGATCCTATATGATTACATTTGACAGTCTGTTGCTCTTGCCTCCTCAGGTCCTGATGGGGGACTACAGTACAGAGTTCCGTCCAGTAGACAACCCCCTGGAGCATATAGGCTACTGTCCCCAGGTCAGCCCTCTGTGGCCCCGCATCACCCTGGAGGAACACCTGGAGATCTACGCTGCCATCAAGGGCCTCCGCGGACAGGACGTCCCTGGCATCATCACACGGTAACTATCTCCTCTATCATAAAACAGTTAACATTTAAGTCATCTAGCAGACGCTCTTATCCAGAGCGACTTACAGTTAGTGCATTCATCTTAAGATTGCTAGGTGGGACAACCACATATCACAGGCATAGAAAGTACATGTTTTATCTAACATAGCTATCAGTAGAGTCAGAGCTAGAAGGTGGTGTAGGTAGGGAGGGGCAGTTCCTCTTGCTGTTCCGTAGGTAAGCACCATGGTCTTGTAGTGGATGCGAACTTCGACTGGAAGCCAGCAGAGCGTGCGGAGGAGTGGGGTGACATGAGAGAACTTGGGAAGATTGAAAACCAGGCAGGCAGCAGCGTTCTGGATAAGTTGCAGGGGTTTGATGGCACAAGCAGGGAGCCCAGCCAACAGCTGCCTGGATTAGGACCTGCACCGCTTCCTGTGTCAGGTAGGGTCATACTCTACGGATGTTGTAGAGCATGAACCTGCAGGAGCGGGTCACTGCTTTGATGTTTGCAGAGAACGACAGGGTGTTGTCCAGTGTCATGCCAAGGTTCTTTGCACTCTGGGAGGGTGACACTGGAGTTGTCAACCGTGATGGAGAGGTCTTTGAGCGGGCAGGCCTTCCCCGGGAGGAAGAGCAGTTCCGTCTTGTCGAGTTTAGCTTAAGGTGGTGGGCCGACATCCAAGTTGAGATATCTGCCAGGCACGCAGAGATGCGTGTCACCACCTGGGTGTCAGAAGGGGGAAAGAGAAAAGTAGTTGAGTGTCATCCACATAGCAATAATAGGAGAGACCATGTGAGGATATGATGGAGCCGAGTGACTTGGTGTATAGAGAGAAGAGGGCCTAGAACCGAGCCCTGGGGGACACCAGTAGATCTGTGTCCATGTGGTGCACGTGGACACAAATCCTCTCCACGTCACCTGGTAGGAGCGGCCTTTCAGGTAGGATGCAATCCAAGAGTGTGCAGAGCCTGAGATGCCCAGCCCTGAGAGGGTTGAGAGGAGGATCTGATGGTTCATGTTGTCGAAGGCAGCGGATAGCTCTAGGAGGATGAGAACAGAGGAGCGAGAGTCAGCTTTGGCAGTGTGGAGAGTCTCAGTGACACAGAGAAGAGCAGTCTTGGTTGAGTGACCAGTCTTGAAGCCTGACTGGTTAGGGTCAAGAATAAAATAAAAAAAATAGGTGTCCGTTTAAACTACTAGCACACAGCTCGGACACCCATGCATACCCCACAAGACATGCCACCAGAGGTCTCTTCACAATCCCCAAGTCCAGAACAGACTATGGGAGGCGCACAGTACTACATAGAGCCATGACTACATGGAACTCTATTCCACATCAGGTAACTGATGCAAGCAGTAGAATCAGATTTAAAAAAACAGGTAAAAATACACCTTATGGAACAGCGGGGACTGTGAAGAGACACACACAAGCGGTACAGACACACGCATATGCACACAAGCGCTAGCACACGCACTCTACACACACGTACATTGCAATATTGTTGTGTGGCGGTATTATACATTTTGCATTGTACATTTTGTATTGTAGATACTCCTGAGTGGCGCAGTGGTCTAAGGCACTGCATCGCAGTGCTAGCTGTACCACTAGAGATCCTGGTTCGAATCCAGGCTCTGTCGTAGCCGGCCGCGACCGGGAGACCCATGGGGCGGCTCACAATTGGCCCAGCGTCGTCCAGGGTAGGGGAGGGAATGGCCGGCAGGGATGTAGCTTAGTTGGTAGAGCATGACGTTTGCAACGCCAGGGTTGTGGGTTCGATTCCCACGGGGGGCCAGTATGAAAAATAAAATAATGAATGCACTCACTAACTGTAAGTCACTCTGGATAAGAGCGTCTGCTAAATGACAAAAATGTAAAACTGTAGATATGTGGACAGCGGAGTCACTCACCACCTTCCGGAGACATTTGAAACCCCACCTCTTTAAGGAATACCTGGGATAGGATAAAGTAATCCTTCTACCCCCCCCCCCCCCCCCCCCCCCCTAAAAAAAAAAAAAAAGATATTGTAAAGTGGCTATCCCACTGGCTATAGGGTGAATGCACCTATTTGTAAGTCGCTCTGGATAAGAGCGTCTGCTAAATGACGTAAAATGTAATAAAAAATATGTAAAAAATATGTAGTGGTGTAATAATGTTATTATGTACTGTTTTATATTTTTTCGTATATGTAATGTAAGTGCTTTAATGTGTTTGGACCCCAGGAAGAGTAGCTGCTGCCTTGGCAGCAGCTAATGGGGATCCCTAATAAATACAAATACCCTTATGACAACTGTCTTGTGGTAGGAACAGGTAGTGCCTGTTGTATTCAGAGATGTGCTGTCGACAACTAAGCATTGATGCAGGGTGATTGTTTATCTGGAGTTAATTTTAATCCTAAAAAATGAATAATGTATCTAACGTTTGTATATTATCTTATCTAACCTAACTTTTAGACTTGGCCCTCTTTATTTTTCTGTTATGTACCTTTTTGCTGTGGTCTCCTGTGGAATGGACTTTGTGTGAACTCTGTGTATCTCTCTCTCTGTGTTCCTATCAGTGTGGTGAATGCTCTGGAGCTGAAGGACCACCTCCACAAGCAGGCAAAGAACCTATCAGCTGGGATCAAGAGGAAGGTGAGAGTGAGAGAGAGAGAGAGCACCACTTCCACTTTACACTCTGTCTACTCTCTACACACCTTTACATAACAGTGTGCAAAGGGAGACTTTTAGTTCTAAACTGCCTGTCAGGGAGACATTTGGAGAGCTGAAATGGGGTTGCTCCATAGACTCAGTTGCGGCCTAGCAGTGCCATCCATCATTTCATGTGATGTTTGGTAATAGAGAGAGTAAATAAGGTGAGTATTTCCTCCCTCCAGCTCAAACAACCCTACAATGTTAGCTGGGAATCAGTGTGTAAAATAACCACCAAGCTTAGCCCATCAACATTCACCAAATCATAACCCCTTACTTTGCTCACTTGTTTCATTTGTACATCTATGTCACAGTATGTTGACTGCTGTCTCGACCTCTGAATGCCCGGCTATGAAAAGCCAACTGACATTTACTCCTGAGGTGCTGACCTGTTGCACCCCCTACAACCACTGTGATTATTATTTGACCCTGCTGGTCATTTATGAACGTTAGAACATCTTGAAGAACGATCTGGCCGTAATGGCCATGTAATCTTATAATCTCAACCCGGGAAAGACAGAATAGGACTGGACACCCCTCAGAGCCTGGTTCCTCTCTAGGTTTCTTCCTGTCTTTCTAGGGAATTTTTCCTAGCCACCTTGCTTCTACATCTGCATTGCTTGCTGTTTGGGGTTTTAGGCTGGGTTTCTGTATAAGCACTTTGTGACATCTGCTGATATATAAAGAGCTTTATACATACATTTGATTTGTGTGTTTCAGCCTAGCCCAAACATTCAAATCCTTTTGCCCTCACTAATTCTTACTTGCCTGTTTCATTTGTAGCCTAATAATACCTGTGCCACACTTTGTTGACTGTATTTGTTTGTGTTTCCTGTTTGTGTGTTTCAGTTGTGCTTTGCTCTCAGCATGTTGGGGAACCCTCAGATAGTTCTGCTGGATGAGCCTTCTACAGGGATGGACCCCAAGTCCAAACAACGCATGTGGTGAGATCCATGCTCCTCTCTCTGGGATAGGCACAATCAGACCAAAACAATGTTGTTGACAAGAAATGGTTGTGCGGTACAAGGCTGAGAAATTACAGCAAAAGCACACAGTCAATAGAAACCAGAATGTATCGTGTGTCATGTAATTTTTATATGTACACTATACAATGCATTCGGAAAGTATTCTGACCGTTCACTTTTTCCACATTTTGTTATGTTACAGCCTTATTCTAAAATTGATTAAATTAATATTTTTCCTCATCAATCTACACACAATACCCCATAATGACAAAGCGAAAAGAGGTTTGTAGAAATATTTGCAAATGTATAACAAATAAAAAACGGAAATACCTTATTTACATAAGTATTCAAACCATTTTGCTATGAGACTCGAAATTAAGCTCAGGTGCATCCTGTTTCCATTGATCATCCTTGAGATGTTTCTACAACTTGATTGGAGTCCACCTGTGGAATAATTCAATTGATTGGACATGATTTGGAAAGACACACCTGTCTAAATAAGGTTCCACAGTTGACAGTGCATGTCAGAGCAAAAACCAAGCCATAAGGTCGAAGGAATTGTCCGTAGAGCGCCGAGACAGGATTGTGTCAAGGCACAGATCTGGGGAAGGGTACCCAAAGATTTCTGCAGCATTGAAGGTCCCCAAGAACAAAGTGGCCTCCATCATTCTTAAATGGAAGACGTTTGGAACCACCAAGACTCTTCCTAGAGCTGGCCGCCCGGCCAAACTGAGCAATCGGGGGAGAAGGGACTTGGTCATGGAGGTGACCAAGAACCCGATGGTCACTCTGACAGAGCTCCAGAGTTCCTCTATGGAGATGGGAAAACCTTCTAGAAGGACAACCATCTCTGCAGCACTCCACCAATCAGGCCTTTATGGTAGAGTGGCCAGACAGAAGCCACTCCTCAGTAAAATGCACATGACAGCCCGCTTGGAGTTTGCCAAAAGGCACCTGAAGGACTCAGACCATGAGAAACAAAATTATCTGGTCTGATGAAACAAAGATTGAACTCTTTGACCTGAATGCCAAGCGTCACGTCTGGAGGAAACATGGCACCATCTCTACGGTGAAGCATGGTGGTGGCAGCATCATGCTGTGGGGACTGGGAGACTAGTCAGGATCGATGGGAAAGATGAACGGAGCAAAGTACAGAGAGATCCTTGATGAAAACCTGCTCCAGAGCACTCAGGATCTTAGACAGTTCACCTTCCAACAGGACAACGACCCTAAGCAAACAGCCAAGACAATGCAGGAGTGTCTTCGGGAGAAGTCTGTGAATGTCCTTGAGTGGCCCAGCCTTGAACCCAATCGAACATCTCTGGAGAGACCTGGAAATAGCTGTGCAGTGACGCTCCCCATCCAACCTGACAGCGCTTAAGAGGATCTGCAGAGAAGAATGGGATAAACTCCCCAAATACAGGTGTGCCAAGCTTGAAGCATCATACCCAAGAAGACTCGAGGCTGTAATCGCTGCCAAAGGTGCTTCAACAAAGTACTGAGTAAAGGGTCTGAATACTTATGTAAATGTGATATTTTTAATACAATTGCAAAGATTTCTAAAAACCTGTTTTTGCTTTGTCATTATGGGGTATTGTGTGTAGATTGATGAGGGGGGGGAAATAATTTCATCCATTTCAGAATAAGGCTGTAACGTAACAAAATGTGGAAAAGGTAAATGGGTCTGAATACTTTCCAAATGCATGTGGACACACCTTCAAATTAGTGGATTCAGCTATTTCAGCCACAACCGTTACTGACAGGTATATAAAATCGAGCATACAGCCATGCAATCTCCATAGACAAACATTGGCAGTAGAACGGCCTTACTGAAGAGCTGTGACTTTCAACGTGGCACCGTCATAGGATGCCACCTTTCTAACAAGTCAGTTTGTCAAATATCTGCCTTGCTAGAGCCCCGGTCAACTGTAAGTGCTGTTATTGTGAAGTGGAAACGTCTAGGAGCAAACAACGGCTCAGCTGCAAAGTGGTAGGCCACACAAGCTCACAGAACGGGACTGCCGATGTGCTGAAGCGTGTAGCGGATTAAAATAGTCTGTCCTCGGTTGCAACACTCACTACCAAGTTCCAAACTGCCTCTGGAAGCAACATCAGCACAATAACTGTTCGTCGGGAGCTTCATGAAATGGGTTTCCATGGCCGAGCAGCCGCACACAAGCCTAAGATCACCATGCGAAGTGTCGGCTGGAGGGGTGTAAAGCTCGCTGCCATTGGTCTCTGGAGCAGTGAAAACGCGTTCACTGGAGTGATGAATCACGCTTCACCATCTGGCAGTCCAACGGACAAATCTGGGTTTGGCGGATGCCAGGAGGACACTACCTGCCCGAATGCATATTGCCAACTGTAAAGTTTGGTGGAGGAATAATGGTCTGGGGCTGTTTTTCATGGTTCGGGCTAGGTCCCTTAGTTCCAGTGAAGGGAAATCTTAACACTACAGTATACAATGACATTCTAGATGATTCTGTGCTTCCAACTTTGTGGCAACAGTTTGGGGAAGGCCCTTTCCTGTTTCAGCATGACAGTGCCCCCGTGCACAAAGCGAGGTCCATACAGAAATGGTTTGTCGAGATCGGTGTGGTAGAACCTGACCTCAACCCCATAGAACAACTTTGGGATGAATTGGAACACTGACTGCGAGCCAGGCCTAATCGCCCAACATTACTAATGCTCTTGTGGCTGAATGGAAGCAAGTCCCTGCAGCAATGTTCCAACATCTAGTGGAAAGCCTTCCCAGAAGAGTGGAGGCTGTTATAGCAGTAAAGGGGGGACGAGCTCCATATTAATGCCCATGAGTTTGGAATGAGATGTTTGATGAGCAGGTGTCCACATACTTTTGGTTATGTAGTATATGTCAACTTCAGCTTCAAAGGTTTTCAGTTTGTCTTTTAGTTTTAGATGTAATTGTTATACTCTGTAAAGTAGCCAGTAAAGAGCTACGGCTGTGGTGGTCCTGTCGCTCTGTTTCATCCTGTCTCCAGGAGGGCTATCCGGGCAGCGTTTAAGAACCGCCAGCGTGGGGCCATTCTGACCACTCACTACATGGAGGAGGCTGAGGCTGTGTGTGACCGCGTGGCCATCATGGTGTCAGGGCAGCTCAGGTGAGTGTTGGGGTATCAGAGTAGAGGTGAAGATGGGTGGAACATAGAGTTGGATAGAGGGTGCACTTGCCACAATGCCGTTTGTGGTGTGCCCTCTATCCAACTCAATGAGCTCTGGCATTGGGGAAAAGGTGTAATATGTTGCCATTACATTGCTATAGCTAATAATCTATGTCGCAGTAACTAGGTTATAAGTTATTTCGTTGTAATAACTTTGTTACAAGTACTTTGTCTTTTTGTCATACTGTATTGAGGTATTTTTTAGTGTTTAGATGTTTTGTTTGGTGTTGAGATCAGGTGGTCTATTGGGGAGTTGATTTGTGGTGGTTGTGATGAGGATGATGGCGATGATAATGAGGATGTGTTATATCTCTCTCAGGTGTATTGGGTCTATCTAGTTGTGATTATGGTGATGATGAGGATATATCTCTGTCTCTAAGGTGTATTGGGTCTATCCAGCACCTGAAGGGGAAGTATGGGCGTGGCTACAGCCTGGAAGTGAAGCTGAGAGAGGAGCTGACGGGGCTCCAGCAGGTGGCACTGCTCCACAAGGAGATCCGACGAATCTTTCCTCACGCTGCAAGACAGGAGAGGTGAGTCAGAGCAGAGGTGTGTGTGTGTATGTGTGTAATGAAATGCTAAATCCCGCTGCCTCTGTCTTGCAGCTTTGCCACGCTGATGGTTTACAAGATCCCCATGGAGGATGTCAAGTCACTGGCCAAGTCCTTCTCTCAGCTAGAGAGTGGTGAGAGTGTGTGTGTGTGTGTGTGTGTGTGATCACTCTCTGAACATCTGCCTCATGTTTCATTGATCAGTTACAATTTAGTCAAAATGCATTTTGTTCTAATGTCCTCTACTCTCCCTTGCCTCCAGCTAAGCAAGCCTTCAACTTTGAAGAGTACAACTTTTCACAATCTACCTTAGAGCAGGTAAGTACTCATTTGTGAACCTTACCTTGAATATCATGTGATGATGTTACATCAACTGCAATGCAAACCCCATCCACTTCCTGACCATTTGTCTGAACTAGTCTCTCTCTCACTCTCACCCCCTCTCTCAGGTCTTCATGGAGTTTGCTAAGGAGCAGGAGAACGAGGAGGAGGAGGTGGGTTCCCTCAGCACCACGTTCCAGTGGCAGCGGCTCCGCCAGGATGGCCCTGTGCCTGTCAACCACCCAGACAGCATCGTGCACCAGCTGTGAGCTCCACTAGGGGGAGGCTGTCTGTGGCTGGCTCCCATTCTCCCTGCCTACATGGCACTAACCTCGTCCCCAGGCTAAAGAGGCTGGGATCGAGATTACTATGGCACAGGCTATGCCAGCCCTGGCAGTGCACTCACCCCTCACCTCACCGGCTCACACCACCACCCACCACCAGCCCAAACTAATAGGACAAGATGGGCGTCACAGTACGGACGGACGCCCCTATGGACATGGCCCTGGAGGGCTAGCAACCATACACTCACACCGGAACTGTGTGTGTCTGTGTGGGATGGGAGGTCTCTCTGGGGCTGAGGTGTGTGAGTTGTCCGAACTACTGTGTGTTTTCTGACCTTTGCACTGACTAACCAAGGGGCCTGCTCCGCTCCGCTCCACCCAACCAGAATCTCCCTCCTCTGATGACGCACTGATACGACCTACTCCGGTTTTTCAATAGGTTTTAGTTTTTTTTAAATCTGAATTCACAGGGAGTTGGTATATATGGAGTATTTATTGATTCCTTTTATTTTCCATCCATTTCCCTACCTGGGCTAACCTCGTACCTAGGCAAATTGGAAATGTCTAGTGAACAAGATTATCCATGGGGAATCAGTGCAGTAAGTGTGTTTGCTCGTGTCTTCCACTGTGTTTGTGAAACTATATGTGTGTTTTATAACAACACCAGTCCAGTTCTGGCTCTAGATCCACTAGAACCAAAGCAGCACATCCCTATTCACTCACACACTCCTAACCTAACACGTTGACACTAAGGTGCTTTTAGCGTCTGTAGCATGATGTGGACTATATTTGTGTCGTAGTTGTGTAGGTTGCTTGTTCTGTACGTGTGAGTACAGATAAACTACTGACAGATCAACTGACAGATCTCCAGTACAGATCAACTGACAGATCTCCAGTACAGACAGAGTTACTGGCAGATGGAGTGGCCTTTTTTCGTTGCAAAAGAGGAAACCCAGCAGAACTGGAGCTCCAGTCCCTCTCCTCCCATGCATCGCCCTCTGGTGGGTGTGAAGAAAATCACACCTCACTCTGGCTCTGCCTCTTCTGCACTAAGGGTTTGCTGCTGTTACTCTCTGGCTGCATCTGAAATGGCACAATATTCACTACTTGCTCTGGTCAAAAGTAGGGTACCATTTCTGACGCAGCCTCTGTGTTTCTGTGGGGCACTGTGAGTACTGTGTCTCCTCTATACACCAGCATGCATTTCAGTGTTGTTCAGGCCCATTGTATACTATAACCACAGCTCTCCCCAGTTCTCATAGACAAGGAGAAAGAGGCCTCCTTTTGAATGACTTAACATGCTTGTCTGAGAGGAAGAAGTATGGATAAATAAGGGGAAGATGGTCAGTCTTGTATTGTAATGATGCATAAAAGGCACAAGTGTAGGGTTTAGTATGGAGGGTTTAGGGTGGAGGGTTTAGGACATGTACTCACACTGCCCAGTGGCCTTCCACTCCTACAATACTTTAGTGTCTGAATAGGAAGGATAGCTTGGCAATGTAGTATCTTAAATGCACATCAGTATATGTAGCACTCTGGCTTCATCAAACATTTGGTATGGGAACCAAGTCACCAACCTAGAGAATCAATCAATTGGAAGAATATGGTTTGGAAGAGTATGTCTTGTTTTTATTTTATTATTATGATAGCTTTTTGTTCTTTTATCTTGGCCAGGTGTGCTCAAATGGGTATTTTGTGACAATGTTGAATTTTGAATGTATGAAATCATGTCTCCAAAAAGAGGCTTCTTATTTTATCTAGGTGATTATGAGTTTTTTATGTTCTGTTGGACTGTAAGGAGCTCAGTTTTCACTCTGTGTCACTCTGGTGCCACTTTTAACCACAGATATATTTTATTATTTGTATTGTATTTCGTGTGTGTGTGTGTGTGCGACTCATGTTTGGGTACTGCTACAGTACTAATATAACCCTCTCCAAGGAAGCACACTAAGTGTTGGTGCAATACTTAAACAACTGTAAAAATTGTAACTTTTTCTCGTGACATTCAGTTGAGCTTTGAAAGAGCGGATGAGAGATGAACAGAAGGGAGTTTAAAAGAGAATTATTAGTATGTGAGGATGGTGAGACTGAGAGAAGATGTATTGGTTTCCAAATTGAGAGTCCATGGACTTGAACTATAGTTTTCAGATGGTTTGACTTTTTGTGATGCAGGCGTATGCTCGGCATGGTAGATTCTTGATTGCTTGAAACGCATGATCCCTCTGGCCTCTTGCTTGATGAAGTTGCATCACATACTTATAAAGATGCAAACACAATTTCGGGATGCCCTAAAAAGTGTCTACAGTACCTAACTGTCTGTGTCTCACTAAAGATAAATATATTGTACAGTGTGAAACTAGGCATAATACTATGTCTAATTTGATATATTTACCTGTAGCATAAATCACGAGTGCTTGTATTTTCTACAGAAGTGTGTGTTCCTCATTGTTCAGTAGAAGACTTGTCATAGTAGAGAATATCATCCTGCCGTAGAAGACATGTCATAGTAGAGAATATCATCCTGCCGTAGAACATGTGTCATAGTAGAGAATATCATCCTGCCGTAGAACATGTGTCATAGTAGAGAATATCATCCTGCCGTAGAAGACATGTCATAGTAGAGAATATCATCCTGCCGTAGAAGACGTGTCGTAGTAGAGAATATCATCCTGCCGTAGAAGACGTGTCATAGTAGAGAATATCATCCTGCCGTAGAAGACGTGTCATAGTAGAGAATATGACAGTGAGTCAGATGTGTTGATGTCTTGCCAGCCTCTCTGATACTGAGACTTAATATCAGTCTGTTGGCCATGAGTCTGAATTAAGAAACATTCACAGAGAACAGGAGGCCTTCACTTATTGTTTACGGGTGGTGTGGCCATAGAAATATACTGTTCCAGATGGTCAAAAGACCAAGGTCTGAGGGGCTTTGTCCCTTCTAGCGATTATATTTCTATGAGTGTAGCGCCTATTTTGGGCAGTGATAATCATTGAGCAAAATGCCTCTTGTCCCTTTTTGCCTTCTAACATAAATCCACCTCCCTCCCTCTCTGTGAACTAGATATTTTCTCACGTCTCATCTCTCCAACCTGGGATGCAGAAGCTTTATAGTCGTCATCTCCTTTTTAAGGGAGTTTGTTTATTATAACATTGTTTATTTTAATGGGGAGCTGTGTGAATATTTGTTTTGTAATGTGGTGTTTGGGTTATTGAGGTGTTGGAGCAAGTTACTTGAAGTGGTTGTTCATAGCTTCCTTTGTCTCTACCATGTCATGTGTGGTTTAGTTGATCATTATGCTTATTGTGTTGTCATATAAACTGATGAAAATACTAATGAAGAGGTTGAAGCCCAAGAAATAGGACACAGTAGCATCTCAGAGGCCTGTTTTGCCACCATTGACCTTAATTTGATGGAATATGTTTTATGTTTTCTATTCATATATTTTTTAAAGAAAGTGTTCTGAAAATGTATGTTGGTATAGGACAGGTCTGTTGGGTTTCTGTTAACTTGCCCTCTGAAATTAATTAAAATCGGTTTTATTTTAAATTTGTAACGCATGTTTTCTACTTTACTGTCTCACTCTCAAGAAGGGTATTTGCTACTGAGCATTGTTGGTGAAAAATCAGTGTATGGTTCTGTGATTCCTGGTATTTCTATGATGATACAGTACAACCTGGTGGTCCTCTGTAGCTCAATTGGTAGAGCATGGCACTTGTAACGCCAGGGTAGTGGGTTCGATCCCCGGGACCACCCATACATAAAAATGTATGCACACATGACTGTAAGTCGCTTTGGATAAAAGCGTCTGCTAAATGGCATATTATTATTATTACAACCTCTCACAGGCTGCGTTTGTTGTCTGATAATCCTTCTTTCTAGAATACCCCACTGACTGTGTATGCTTAAAGATATTGCTTTGTTGTGTTGACATACTCTAACACTATCGTGTGAGTGGGAGAGCGTTTTTCTTTTTAACTCGGTGAACATTATTTTTGCACACGTAGCCTTGTGCACTTGATCAATGCCTACTATAGTGGTGACTATTGTCGCCACTATAACAGAGCGAAAATAGAATGTCTTCTGTTTCATTCTGTATGAGTTGTGTATGGGGTGAGATGGACTACATTCACAGAATTCTTATCTATTTTAAAGTAACTGCCCAGTGGTTCCAGATTTCTATGAAGTATGACCTATAATTACTTACAATATGAGTGAAATAGTTTTCCTTCCAATTTGGGGGGGATTAATTACGTTAAAAGCAGCTTTTCGGAATGGTGTGGGCTAACACCAACAACAGAATGGTGTGGGCATATACCGGTCAAAATATTATTGCAAGTAGACCGCTGATAGGCCAGCTCAGCCTCCTCTAGGGGTGGGGTTTTTGAAGTGTGTTTTTCTCAAATTTTTGCTTCTGCCACATACGAGTATAGGACGAGTCAACATTAGTTGGATACTAGTTAACAGAATATAAACTTTTAAGTGAGATTTTCACTTGGCAGTTACTTTAAGACGTTTTTCCCAAGTGCAATATTTAGATTTGTGTTGTCACAAGCGTTCTATTATAAAGGCTATCATGGTTAACTGAAATATCAATGTATCCTTTATTCTGTGGACTTGAGTGTCACTTGCAGTAAAATATTAATACCATTAGATTGCTTTCCTTTTTCTCTTTTTTGGTGCCCATTCCCATTTTCTTTTTATTCCCTTCCATATGTATTTGCACAGCAAAGCTAAAAAAATTTATTTGGCTCTATACTCCAGCATTTTATTTGAGGGTAGTTTCATACATATCTGTTTTACCATTTAGACATTAAATAACTTAATGTATCTAGTCCCCACATTTGAAGAAGTCATAAGTATTTGGACAAATTCACTTAGTGTATCAAAGTAGTCAAACGTTAAGTATTTGGTCCCATATTCCTTGCACACAATGACTACATCAAGCTTGTGACTCTACAAACTTATTGGATGCATTTGCGGTTTG